TTTTAAAAAGTAAGAAAAGTTTGGATTTAGACCACTGAGTAGGTAATTTTTCTTGTTCAAGTACAGTATTGAATAAATGCAAAATGTAGTGCTCCCACTCTGGGTGAGGTTTTTGAAGTTTTCATAAATTATAAGGTCCGGTCCTGGAAATTTGTTGTTTTTAGAAAGATTAATACAAAGCTGCAGTTCCTCTTGTGTTAAATTCGCTTCCAGAATTGAGTTGGTGGTGGGAATGAATTCTAAACTCCGAATGGTCTTCTGTCCATAATGTATTATTTAATATTTAATTGTATAGATTACAGCGATATAAATATTTAAAAAATTATATATAAAGGTACATATACAAATAAAAATACCCTCAATGAAATATAAATAAATATCGCGTTTATAATTTTTACTTTCAATTTACTTTGTATGAAAATACTTACTTCTGCTAAGAAAAGGGTAGTAAGGGAAACTTGTGTTGATGCGCACACCGCACCAGATTTTTAAATAAGTAACGTTTAATGTTATATTTTCATAAAGAAATTTTTAATAGTTTATTTATTTTTAAAAATTTATTTCATATCAACATATAACAATAATCAAAAACATTATACGGGCTCTATCATACCGCCAATCCGGTTGAAGAGTTTATCATTGCATCCGATTACATTGGAAAGTTTTGCAAACATGTTTTCTCACGTTAAAATTGTCAGAAATCGAATTCCATTTTATTAAATTTTATAATAAGGAAATAAGAGTTTAACAACTAACTGTAGTACAATCCATAATCATTTACAGGTTAAATATACGGATGTACTTTCAAATTTCTCTGGGTATATATAGTTAGAGACTGGAGTTACGTGGTTTATAAAAACAGATGGATATACGAGGATTTTATTGCCTACTGTCGTCATAATAAATAGGATTCGTGTTATTTAAATGGCCTTAGATAACCCTGGAGCCGGAGACCAAAAATCGACCTGACCACAGGCGAATTTTTTAATGTAAATTACGAAATTGCATGTTATTCTGAGTAAAGTTAAGTTTGTCTGCCGTTCCAGAAAGCCGCTGCTTTAAAAAATGGCTGGCGATATAAATAATATTTGGTCAGTAACTTGAGGATCGAAACGAGAAATTCATTGTGAAAAATCTGTGTCCGTATGTGAGTGAGTGCGTTCTTATATTTGTGAACAATCTAACTCAAAAAAAGTCGTAAGGAACTGAAATTGAGTATTTTTTTGCTTTCCTACCTATACTAGGTAAGGAAAGTATTGCAATCTGGTCAAATTTCCTATAAGCGGTTTTCGACGGATCTATACGTTTCAGTGCCCCCTGAGTCCTCCCCCAAAAACACATTGTAGGGCAATTCAAACAAAAATTCCCTACAAAGCCACATAAAAATCGTCCATTTTGGACAACTATTAACGAAGTTACAGCTATTCAATTTCCAATGTAAGATTACGGTTTCATATCCTGGTGTCAGAAAGGGGTGAATGAGAGAAAAATGATGACTAAGTGAAAGTAAGAAAATCTGTTGCCCGCATCACACAAGCTTCACTATTTCCTTTACTTTTAATAGAAATTATTGTTTGACGAAATTAAGCTATGGCAAAAAGTTTTTGATCACCAATATTAGGGCAGACGTATTTTATTTTATTTTTCTCTTTCTCGTATTTTATTTCATGCTCGATAAAAATTACATTTTAAAAAATATATATTTACAAAAAAAGTTTTATGAAGGAAATAATGGATATAGTTTCTTATATTTTATTTTATACTGGATAAAATCTAAAATATTATTTTTTTAAATTTTATTTTCTAGAAAATTAAAAAAAAAAACATATATACATACAATCATGGTTTTATGAAGGAAATAATAATCATACTCTAATTAAAAAAGATATAATTGCAATTTATTTGTCTATAAAGCAACAGAAGTTCAGTATTTCATATCAATATAAATAATAATACAGTAAAAATAATTGTAAAACAATTCTAAACTTCATTCATAAAAATATAATCTTGCATACGTCAGCAAAACTTATCCTACGAGTATCCTCGTACAAAGGGCAACAATGATTATATCTGGGTAAACTGGTTGGTAAAGGTATTTAAAATAACTAGCTGTTATTGTATTAATTTTAAAAAATGATCAGCTGTTTAAAAACTGTATCGAAATGAATTATATAATTGAACTAGCTTTACCCGGCCCACGCGCTGCTGTGGCTTAGCCTGGCAAAATGGAAAAGAAAGAAAATAGACAGCACAGATGAGTGGATTAATACCAAAGGACATCTGCCATTTTTAAAACGTTGGGAAACAAATTTGTCTGTAAAATGCCTTCAATTTAAACTAATCCTAATGTTTTTTTTTTCATGATTCAAATTGAACATTCGTAATCATCTGATTGAATACGCCGTCATTCTTATTCATCAGAAACAGTCTGAATTGAACTTATAAAACTAAAATTGACTTTATCTCTGCTTTCTAAAAATGACAGAAATCCATCCTTTCATATCAAGCCACTCATATATTTTCATATTTAATTTTATTATTATTTTTTTTTTACATTTAATTTATTGTTTAATGTTCAACTTTGTTTTGATCATTTTATGGCAAATAAAAATGTAAATGTTAGGTAGTTTAATCTCTTAAATCTCAGATAGTTTTTCACCCATTGCCTTGAAATAATGGCTTAACGTTGCATTACTATTATAAAATATAAGGTGAAACTATACATATTTATTAAAAACGCACCATCAGTTGGATGTAAAAGCAACACATGCGGTTCAAAATATTTTACGATACCGTTTCAATATTCAATATTTTCCAATATCAATCTTGGCAATGCATTGAAATTGCGCTGTACCATTTATCATAGCGTTCATTTCGTGTGCATTAGAGCTGCCTTCCATCTTCCTAAAAAGATTTTGCATACCCAAGATAGTTGATTGCTTGCTTCTTCTTAATAACAACTTGATTAAATATAGAGTTATAAAAATTGTGGTGGAAAAATAAACCATACTAATGAAAGAAATCCTACGGTAAACGGCACAGCCTTATTCCAACATAATGTTAGAGAAAAGAATTTATTAAAAAATAAAATAAACTGAAATCAATAAAAAAACTGATTTCTAAAAGGATTATAAACGGTGATAAGTATTACTTAAAAGTTAAATCTTTTTATATAATAGCAAAACAAATATTTTAAATGTATTATACTACTTCCAAAATACATTGGGTGGAATATAAAAAATGAATATAAAGAGCGTATAATATTTATTTATTTGATGTTTTGTTGCCTCTACCCTGTAGGGTCATTGGCAACACCTTTGAATTACACTCTGTTGTAGAGTTTTATCACTTTTAAAAACCTTAAAGTTTTTTTTACTGCACTTTCACTGTCTTGTAGGTTTTCTTTTAGACTCTGTGCCATGTCTAACTTTTTCCTTGTAGGTTCAAATGTAGGGCAGTCTTGAATAATGTGCTTTACTGTCCTTTGGACATTGCAGCTCTCGCAGGTCGGAGGATCAAGTCCTCTTAGTAGGTAGGAGTGCGAGAACTCACAATGTCCAATTCGCAATCTGCAAAGGGCTGTCTCCTCTTTTCGAGATGATCGGTGAGAGGTTTCCCATAGCGTATAATAGTCCCATAGCGTATATAATAACCTACATAAGGAGAATCATATCACTCCTTCAAATGATAATTTCAATTACTGTAGTAATTATAACATTTTCGATAAATAAATAAGAAAAAAAAAAAGGAAATGGCGTTTTCTGAAGCGAAAGCAGTAAATGTTTAATACTCTATAATTCTGCAACCGATTTCAATGTTTTTTTTTTAAATTTTGTCGGCAATTCAGGAATCTTTCAAATAAACATGGGTATCATAAAAAATTGTGTACTTTTTTAGTTATCGAAAAATAAAATATTGAATTCAACGTATCATTTTTTCAGCTTGTTTTCGGGAAAGTAAGTTATGCACATAAATTAAAAGGGTTTCAAGGAGAAGACTTTAGCCAAGTTTCGTTAAAATCGTTAAAGCCGTTTTGACCCAACTCCTGGTTTCCTCCCTTGTGTTCCCCCACTTCGAATATGGCTTTCTGGTGTACGGCGGACTCTAGGGAGAATTCGAGGCCAAACTTAAACGCCTAATGAACTGCGCAATACGTTTTGTTTTCGGAATCTCAAGAGATACGCATATAACCCAGTATTACACCAAGTTGAAGTGGCTCTATCCATCCAACCGCCGTCTGTACTTCCTTGCCACCTTTCTATACCAAGTCATCAGAACTCAGCGGCCTTCCTATATTTTTCACAGTCTACAATTCAAATATTCCATTCAATCCCGTCTCACTAGATCTCGTACCTCCGACCTCTATCCACCGAACTGCAGCGTTTGACAAATCCTTTATAATTCAAGCCGTCTCCACCTGGAATACCATTCTTCCCGATATCCGACATGTACAATCAGTTTCCTCATTTAAATCTCTCCTTTTTAACCACCTACTCCTTTTCCAACTTTTAAAGTTCCCCCAGAAATGATTTTCTTTACTTATGCTATTTTATTTTCCCACGTTTGTATTATACATATCAGAATGTTTTTAGTGTAATAGTTCTATTTTTTGTTTTATTCTTTTTTTCAAAATCTTAATCTTAATAATAATTCTGTATCTGTAATTTGTCCTAAACAATTTAGTCAACAGTCCCAGGATAATAAAAAAACATTTTCATTTCATTTCATTTCATATTTTACAGCTTTGAACAAAAAACATACACATTTTTTTTACATGTATAAAATTATTGTAAGACAGAAGTACTATGTTAGAAACCTTCCCAGAAGTGTACGGAACAACTTTCCAAAGTGTCATGGCGATCGGATGAATGGTTTACTAATGCATAAGGGACAAACAGACAGACATTCATTTATATATATATATATATACATATATATATCTATTATATATATATATATATATATATATATATATATATATATATATACATAAATCCGGGCTCTGTTTGAGAGTTGTGGGGAGGGGAGGGGGGATCCTACTATCGATTGTGCCTCCTCCGGCTTTGAGAGCGGGTATTTGGTGAGATAAAGCTCTTAGCTGCAGCTTCTACCATAACCTTCACACCCTCGAATGCTTCCCTTGCAGTCGTGATGATCTGTTTTGATGGGAGTACGAATCCATATTGACCTAGGTCTCTCAGCTCATAGGTGTAGGCAAACTTCACTTTGGCGGTCTCTTTCACCCAATCAGCTGATCCTCCTGTAAAATATTCAATTTCATTTTAAAATTATCATTAGAATGTTTAAATTTTATTGATTTATACATGGTTTTAAGTGGCCAAACTGAAAATATGAACTTAGAACCTCAAAACAAGAAAATAATTTCCTCTGAAGGTAAGCGCTTTGTTCAAACCTAAAGATTTTCATTGTTATGAATTATTTAGAATAGAATAGAAAATAATTTTATTATGGGACGAAGTCCCTTCAGAATAACAAAAAATTACAAAATTAAAATGTTGTATCTGGCCAAATAAAAACAAACTGTATCTGACTGTTTTTGGGACAGGAATTGGAATAGGAGGGTTTTGAATGTAGACAGGGATGAAGAATGCCGAATTTTGATAGGTAGGGAATTCCAAAATTTAACAGAGCGAGCTATGAAGGAGTTTTGGAACGAGGTAGATCTGTGAGAAGGGAAGTATAGGTCAGAGGGTCGAGATCTTGTAGTGAGGGAGTTCTTAGATCCCACACCAATTTTCCCTCACTCTATCTAAACAACCACCCCATCACATTCTACCCCTTAGTTAAAAATTTAGGCTTTTTCATAGATCAAACCCTCTCTTGGGATCACCATATCTCCCGTCGTGCAATTTCTACTCTCAAACGATTCCATCACTTCCGCCATCTTCTGCCAAAAAATAACCGTAGACTCCTAGTTTCCTCTCTCATATTTCCCCACTTTGACTACAGTTGTGTGGTGTACGATGGTTTCACGGTGGAACTTCGTGATAGACTCAAAAGACTTATGAATAGCTTGGTAAGATTTGTAATTGGAACCCCGAGACGCTCCCGTGTCTCCCACCACTACACTGAGTTAGGGTGGCTCTTCCCCTCCTTAAGAAGACAATACTTCCTAGGCACTTTCCTTTATCAAATCATTACCGATCATCGTCCTTCTTATGCCTACAACCTTCTCCAATTTAAGTCCTCAATCCGTTCCCTCACTTCATACATATATATATATATATATATATATATATATATATATATATATATATATATATATGTAAAATCTTTCGGGATTAAGTCCCCACAAGAATAACTCTTGGATCCGCTAGGGTACTGTCCCCTTTCATTGATATATTTATATTGATGAATGAATATTTAAGTGCATTTAATGAATATTGCTTGAGTGAATTTTCGAAGTGAAAACTTGTTTTGCTTACTAATCTTTTTTGTGGGTTGTGAATGAGACTGACCCGTGACACTCGGATATGTAACGCTCATCCAAGTTGTCTCGAGTCGACTGATTTTTGCATTTGGATTATAATATCTAAAAACTAAAATCGAATCTGTATACTGTAAACGAGAGATATATTCAGAATTTTATCATCTGTGCAATGGGTTATTATTCAAAATTATGCCGGAGTTAAAAGTCCCTCCGCCTCGAGTTTTGAACTCGTATTTTACAAACGTGTTAGCCCGTGCGGCTATACCATTCTTCCTTAGTGTGTTATAAGTGTTAGTCTGATAACACTGTATTAACAAAAATGGTGTATTTATTTAAATTAAAACAGAAAATTAGAGAGGACGGTATGTTTAACCCACTCCAGGGTTAATTATATTTTATCATGTTAATAAGTTTTTTTGTTTCCAATCTAGGTAAATTTAAATTAAAACAGCACAAAAAACGAATAAAACTCACAAGTGTACAAATACAAATCATTACCTGAAGCTGCGTAAAGAATGTCAGGTGGTCTGCCAACTTTGTATTTCGTACCACTAAATTTTTGAATAGCCCCTCTAGCCTTCATACCAATTTCTTTAATCTCCTCGAAGTCTGTAGGGTATGCATTTTTATCATAACTATAAGGAAGAAGAATTAACTGGCCATAGCTGTGAAATGATATGTAAACCTGTAAACATTACATCATTTTACAAAAGAATAAAAAAAATCTGGTGTAAATATATATATTTGTATTTATGTAAATAAAATATAAAATAAAAAATCCATCTTTGTCTATCTTGAACTATTTCTGTCTGGTCATCTGCATGCAACACTATTGTATCTTTTTTTTTTTTAAATAGATTTTTATTATCCTGGGACTTTTGTCTCTTTAGGACAAATTATAGGTACAAAGGAAATGCCTGTGTGGCCATAAAATTAAATTAAATATGCTCATTAAAATAAAAATATTGGATGAAAAATAAAACAAAACCACTAAATAAATACAGATATATACAATACAAACATGTGAAAATAAAATAACATAATTAAACAAAATCATTTCTGGGGGAACTTACAAAGTTCTCTTAGCTACTTTTCATGATCAATCGGGTCGGGAAAGAAGTAGGTGCTTAAAAATTAGGGATTCAAATGAGGAAACTGATTGCGCATGTCGGATATCGGGAGGGATGGTATTCCAGGTGGAGACGGCTTGAATTATAAAGGATTTGTCAAACGCAGCAGATCGGTGAGGAGGTGGATAGAGGTCAGAAGTACGGGATCTAGTGGGACGGGATTGCACGGAATATTTAAATTGTAGGCTATGAAAAATATAGGAAGGCCGCTGAGTTCTGATGGCTTGTTATAGAAAGGTAGCAAGGAAGTACAGACGGCGGTTGGATGGATAGAGCCACTTCAACTTGGTATGATACTGGGTTATATGCGTATCCCTTGAGATTCTGAAAACAAAACGTATTGCGCAGTTCATCAGGCGTTTAAGTTTGGCCTCCAATTATCTCGAGAGTCCACCGTACACCAGACAGCCATAGTCGAAGTGGGGGAACACAAGGGATAAAACCAGGACTTGACGGGATTTATATGGAAGAAGATAGCGGAGACGGTTAAACTGTTTCAGGGTAGAGATAGTACGACGGGAAATTTGGGAGATGTGTGGTTTCCAGGAGAGAGTTTGATCAAAGGTAACACTTAGGTTTTTTATGGTAGTATGGAATGAGATAAGTGAGTTGTTCAGGAAAAGATTGGGGAGTGTCGGTAAGGATTTGAGGAGTGAGGTTGTTCCAATAAGGATAGCTTTCGTTTTCTCGGAGTTTAGAGTGATTCTATTGTGGTTTGCCCAGGCACAAATTCTGTCTATATCTTTCTGTATTTTTTGGATGGCGTCAGAGAATTCGATCGGATTGAAGGAGAGGTAAATCTGAACGTCGTCGACATACAGATGGTATTGACAGTGTAGGATAGAGGATGGAAGGTCATTGATGTCATTGATGGAAAAAATAGTTGGAGATAAGGATGAGCCTTGTGGGACACCTCTGGACAAGGGTAAAGATTCTGATGTGAGATTATTGGGGACTACAACATATTGGGAGCGGCCGGAAAAGAAGGATTGGAACCAATTAACCAATATTTGTGGATTCGATCTATGCATCTGGTTTTTGGTCTTTCATATTCTCTTTTGACTATTATTGATGTATTCATTGGTCAATAGAGGTTGCAGATGGATTGCTCGGAGCTCCATGCCCCATCTTAACCTCCGTGCCTTCATACCATGGGATATTGATTGATCAGTTTCTGTAAGCAGCTATGTATTGGTCTTTCTCCTCCATGCGCTGATACTCTTATACTGATAAATCTTTCAATACTTTTTTTCTAAGATTTTTCAGGATTTTAATACCTTTGAAAGATATAAGATAGTTCTTTTTGAGCTGATTAATCGTTGAAATTATTGTGGTTTCTCTTTTACGCAGATTATGCTATTGTGGTGGAATTATCATATAATTTGTAATGTATTTATTCATAGGCCGATTTGCTCTGCTTCTCTGATCGAAGTCTCTGCGAGTTTCTCTACTCTCTTTAATAATATTTGCACAGAAAAGAATATTTATTTTCTAACAGTATATACAGTATAAACAAAGCAAGTATAACACAAGAGAAGGTAATATAACATATGTTTTATAACAGCTGACATTCAATGGGGATTATCCCTTCAACACATAGGCTCCTTTGAAATCAAAAAATAGCTGAGCTACTTCCCTCGTTTTTCGAGTACTTGTTCGAGGATGCAGATCTGGTTTAGCGTATTCCTTCCTTTTCTGAATCCAGCTGGGTTGTCGCCTGTTATATTTTTGTAACACGGATAAACTCCTGGAAACCAGACATCTCCGGAATTTCCCGTCGCCATAAAATAGTTCAATCGCCTCTGTTATCTCCTTCCATGTAAGTCCCGCCAACTCCTAGTTTCCTCTCTTGTTTTCCCCCTCTTCGACTATGGCTTTATGGTGTACGGTGGACTCATAGAAGATTTCGAGGCCAATCTTGAACGCCTAATGAATTGCACTTTACGTTATGTTTTCGGAATCTCAAGAGATACGCATATTGCCCAGTATTACACAGAGTTATCTTAATGTTTCTATATTTACGTTTTCATAAAATAATTGAGGCAATCAGTAGGTTTCTTTATTTTAAACTTCAATTTTATGAATAGAAACATCGGACCGCCTCCTTCGAGAGAGATCTGGAAGAAAAACACTATTTCATAACCACCTTTCATGAAAAACATTTAAAAAATCGTTATTTTAAATTTTATTATTTGTATAAATAAAATATATATTTAGACAACTATTTTTATTATAATGCATCTCAGACCACGGAAAACAAGAAATAAAAGCTTTGCAACAGTCAATCGTAGTCATTTTTGGTGTAAACACGGGTATTTTTGGGAGACTGGATTGAAAATTATATCATTTCTTTATACAACTTGAGATGAATCTTTCCTAATAAACCTCAATTTAATTAATATAAACTTAAAACTTATTAAACGAGGTAGTTTTTCTAAAAGTGGGATTACTGTAGTATAGTTGGATGATGATTAAAAAAATCGCGAATAATTCATGATTTTTTAAAAAGCAAATCTTAGCTGACTTTAGTCGCTCAAATGACCCCCTTCATGACAAACCTTCTTTTCCAATTAAAGTTAATTTTATCTTGTTTACAATGAAGTAATTGTTAATTACTTAAATTAATTAGTTATTGCTTAGTTATTTCTTTAGTTATTGCTTCATATTCAACAAAAAAGATGACTCTCTTTAAAAAACATTGAAACTAAATTTCCAACTTTTCTACTGAACATTGGACCATTTTCTGTTAGGTTTAATACCAATCTTTATAATACAGTCTTGCGTGTAATTTAAGTTCTCTCTCACTCTTTTTTATTTCTGTTCTTTAGCTTGAACATAAGTGAACATCAGATCTGCCCTCACTCCTATCGAAATTTGCCTCTATTTATGGAACACCCTGTGTATATATATATATATATATATATATATATATATATATATATATATATATATATTGTATAGCCTGTTTTTACAAGTATTACACCTGTAGGCCTCCCCAATTAATGGTCTAACTTCCCGCGGGGACCAGCTGTGTTGGGAAGTAGAATAGAATAGAATAGAAAAATAATTTTATTCTGGGACGAAGTCCCTTCAGAATAACAAAAAAGTACAGAAATTAAAATTTTACATCTGGCCAGATAAAAACAAACATAACAAATTAAGATAATGATAGGTCATTAAAGAAAAGAAAAGAAAAAAAATATTGGTTATACATACTATATACAAAATAAAATATAAAAATCTATATAAAAAACTCTTGAAACCATACTAAGATACTTAAAACTATGTACGATGTTAAAATATAAATAAACCCTTTTAGAAAAAATAAAAAATACAGAAAAAATAAATGTATATTCTTCTTAACAGTAAAATCTGTTTCTGTTGAAACAGAAAAAAAAAAAAAAAGAGAAAAAGAAAGTCGAATCTATAATAAGTATTCAGGTCATGAGCTATATGTGAATATGGTCTTATATATAATGTGTAATTTTACATAAAAGATTAGCTGGTGCCTGACTGTTTTTGGGACAGGAATTGGAATAGGAGGGTTTTGAATGTAGATAAGGATGAAGAATGTCGAATTTTGATTGGAAGGGAATTCCAGAAACTAACAGAACGTGCAATAAAGGAGTTTTGGAACGAGGCAGATCTGTGAGAAGGAATGTAAAGGTCGGAAGGTCGAGATCTTGTGGAGAGGGAGTGGACTGAGGACTTGAATTGGAGAAGGTTGTAGGCGTAGGAAGGACGATGATTGTTGATGATATGATAGAGGAATGTACCTAGGAAATATTGTCTTCGAATGGAGGGGAAGAGCCACTCTAACTCAGTGTAATGGTGAGAGACATGGTAGTATCTCGGGGCACCAATTACAAATCTCACGCAACTGTTCATTATTCTTTTCAGTCTGTCGCGGAGCTCCACCGAGAGTCCATCATACACCACACAGCAGTAGTCAAAGTGGGGGAAGATGAGAGAGGAAACGAGGAGTCTGCGCGTATGTTGAGGTAGGAGATGGCGGAAGCAATGGAATAGTTTGAGGGTAGAGACTGTCCGTCGGGAGATGTGAGAAATATGGTGACTCCAGGAGAGGGTTTGATCAATAAATAGTCCTAAATTTTTTACAGAGGAGTAGAAGGAGATTGGCTGGTCACCAAGGTTTAGTATGGGAAAGTCCGTATAGGATCTAAGGAGGGGCTTGGAACCAATGACAATGGCCTGAGTTTTTGAAGCATTTAACCTTAATCCGTTTAATTTTGCCCAGGCACAGATTCGATCTAGGTCTGCTTGGATCTTAGTAAATGCTACCAATAGCTCAGGGGGAGAAAAGGATAGGTATATTTGAGAATCGTCTGCATAAAGGTGGTGGGAACAATGGAGAATTGAGTCATGGAGGTCATTGATATAGGAACTAAAAAGGAGAGGAGATATGCTAGATCCTTGGGCGACTCCAGAGGATAAAGGCAGGTAGGCAGATAGTGGTTGATTAGGAATGGAGACTGCTTGGGTGCGTTGTGATAGGAAAGATTGGAACCAAGAGATGGAGCTATTGGAGAAGGAGAGTGATTTTAGTTTGTTGAAAAGGATGGGATGGTTAATGGAATCAAAGGCTTTAGAGAAGTCAAGAAGTATAAGGACAGTTAGTTGTTTATTATCTATTGCAGTCTGAACATCATTAGTAATTTTGATTAAGGCGGATTGTGTGGAGTAGCCGGGACGGAAACCAGATTGGAGAGGATCGAGTTGGTTAGACTTTTCTAGGAAATTGGAAACTTGGGATTGCACCAATCTTTCTAGGGGTTTTGAGAGATTGGAAAGAATTGAGATTGGGCGAAAGTCTTCGGGAGAGGATGGATTAGGCTTTTTATTTAAAGGGAGTACAATGGCTTTTTTCCAAGAGGAAGGGAATATTGAGTTCTGTAGGGAGAAATTGTAAATGAAAAGGAGAACTGGGAGGATTTCGGGGAGACATAATTTTATCAATTTGACTGGAATGCCATCTGGTCCTATGGAATTGGTGTGGGATTTCATTACTGCGGTTAGTAAGTCAGTCGGGGAAATCCTGGAGCCAAAATCTCTCGCACAGACAGAAATGTAGGTTGGCCACGATTCAGCGGATGGCTCTGCTTCGAGTATCCAGATCGTTCAGGACGGTGTCTCATGAGGCTGTGCAGGTCTTGGCAGGAGGAATACCTCTCGACCTCCTGCTGAGAGAAGACTACTACCGGTATCAGATTAGGAGAGAATGCTTAGCGGCTCTACCGGATTATCTCCGAGTGAGAATAAGAGATGATCCAAGAAACTGGAAGAAGATTCTCCGGGAGGATACAGTAGAGGACTGGAACCGACGGTGGTTGACGACTCCCAAAGGAGCTACTCTAAGGAAGTACTTCCCCACCGTCAGTTCGCGACTAGAAGCGACTTGGGTCCTCCCGGACTACTGGATTTCACAGATTCTCACGAGGCATGGGGGTTTCCGAGCAAAGCTCGTTCAGTATGGTATAAATATCGATCCCCTATGCCCAAGTTGTGGGGTACCGGAGACCGCTGAACATGTTGTACTTACCTGTACGGTCTATGAGTCACTGAGGGCGAAACTGTTGAGAGAAACAGGCCTCTTTGTCCTAACAGAGAGAGGTCTTCCTCAACTTATGGACAAAGAAAGATACGATCACTTAAAAAGTTTTATATACGGGTGGAAAGAAGTTGTTCTACCAACCCACTTCTCTTTGGGAAGAAGAAGAGAAGCTGCACCGAGGAGGCCACCAGAATAAGAAGAAAAGTAAACCAGATGCAAGTGAAGAGAAGAGCAGGCTGTGTGCACAGCTCAGAAAAATAATGTAATAGTCAAAAATGCAGCAGTGGGTTGTTATGTAACAGTAACATCCCACTGCTGCAAATACCCGTATTGCCTTCAGGCAGGGGAGGGTTGAAAATAAAATAAAATAAGTCGGGGAAATGTAGGAGAAATAAAAGTCATCATCATTAAATGATGACTCAGGAGCAACGTTGGAAGAGGAGGGAAGAGAGGAGGTAGAGGAGGCAGAAATAAAATGTGAATTTAAAAAGTAGGGCCGGGATTCGATCCTATGATCTTTGCTTTACTAGTATAGAGCGCTAACCACTCTGCTATACCGGCCCATAGTTTTATATATATATATATATATATATATATATATATATATATATATATATATATATATATATAACTAAACAAAAATAAGCTAATCCAACAAAATAAATATTTAAATACACACATGCTTTAATACAATATTTACAATATTTCGTCATTCATGATCTCCGAGCCAAGCCTCACACTCGTGGAGGGAAAGGTAGGACTCTAGGAGATCCCAGCGTCTTTCACTCAGCCGCATCAATGGTATTACCAATGGAGGATGAGCAGAGACACTATAACCAGACATATATGACATTGCCAGAACTCCAATATATTCTTACAACAGGTCTCTGGGCACTGCCGCTTCAACCTTCGAGGAGGATTGTAGGGATGAGTAGTTCTAGAGAGAGATTGTGCAATTGGATATGTAAGGTTTTGGTGGAATTTGGAAAATTTTTGAGGAATAAGGTCTAGGACAAATGGGATATTAAGGTCATGGTGTAGGGTTTGGTGGGTTACATAGAACATAGCAACGACTATTGTTCGAAGGATTTCGGACTGAAAGGATTGAATGCGTTTGATGTTAGAAAATTTTGCTGTCTCCCACAGTTCCAGTCCGTAGGTCCAAATAGACTTCAGTATTGTCTTGTAGATCAGTAGTTTGTTATCAATTGAAAGTTGGGATTTTCTGTTCAGTGGCCTATATAGCTAGCCATATCGTCGGGGGAGTTCTTGTCTTTTGAGTCTTGTATGTCGGTTCTACGTCAGACTGTCTGAATAAGGAAGCTGGATTGAATTAAAGTGTACTGGTGGACAGAAATTGCGTCGGAGAGTAAAGGTAATATGTTTGCATTTCGACTCATTCACTTTAATGCGCCATTCATCACACCAGTGCTCAATAAGGGAGAGGTGCCTTTGTACATTTAAGGATGCTATTTCAGGATCTGAGTTGTATGATAGGATGGCTGGATGAGAGGATTAATCAATTAGCAAGTTTGAAAACTTGCCCATAAACCTAAACCCAGAACTGAATTCTGTAAGGTTTAAACTGTTAAAATATAAAATTAAGTATGTGTTTATTTCGGCTATGACCTAATCTGATACGAAAACCGGCCATTGTTGAAAAAAAAATATTACTTACCCTCAGTTTCTTTATTTTTATAATATATTCGGAAAACGCCTTTGTTTCCGGCTCAGAAAACGGGGAAGGTCCCGTAAATATTTCGTCGCATGGGTCATCACTCGTCCCTTTGCCTCCGAAACTCGCGGCGAAGTTCCTGTTGAGATCGATGCCCACGCATTGACCACAACTTCCGGATCTGTTCTTCCTCCAAAGACGGTTCGAGGTGTGGGAGTACTCGTAGCCGTCAGGGTTCAACACAGGAAGAATGTAGTAATCGAATTTCATCATGTTAGGCGAGAGCAGCGACTGGTTCGTAACTAGGCTATCCAGGATAAAGATGGCCGTAGCAACGCTGATCCACTCTCTGGCGTGGATACCTGGTCAAAGAACAACTCAATTAGGTTATTTATAGCTCGGTCAAATTAGACATGTTACCTTGTAAAAGAGCAGGTAATTCAAAGCTCTTTTTATTGTTAGATATGTAGTGAATATAAAACGCTGCAAATTATTTCACAATGGTTTATTATTTCCAAACAATTATACATCTAAAGTAACATTACCTTCCGAGTTACAAAGAAAAAAAAACAAGAGGTGATTCCAATTATTGGACTAAACTGTTTTTCTTTAATCATTAGTAATATGCTAAAAAAAAATAGCATTAGTTCATTAACACATTTAAAATTTAAAAACCAAACCAAGGATATAACTTTTGGGGTAGAAAACATAAAAAAAAAACCCGGAGACCATATATTTGCTCCTAATTGTCCGATTTTAACGATTCTTTTTATGTTTTTTAGGAATTTTCGTAAACTTTTTTAAAAAAAAACATGTAATGAGTAATGTGGATGAAGGAGTTTTTTCGAGTTATTCGGAATTTAATTTTACCATCCCTCGTAACTTTTTTTGCAGCTTCTTTTCGTTGAAGTATGATATATAGATAAATTTAAAGGGCGTCAAGAAAATGACTTTAGCGAAGTTTCATTGAAATCTGTTCATTCGTTTAGGAGCTACAGTCTATAGCAACGCAGGTTTTTCGGCCGCCATTATGAAAGTTAAAAGCGGAGAGTAATGTGGATGAAGGAGGATCATCTTCGGGTGACCTCTGATTTTATATCAAAATTTGAAAAAAAATCGGTCCAGTAGTTTCGGAGAAAATGCGCGGACGGCGGACGGACAAAAAAATTTTTATTCATTTTCGAATTCTATTATACGCGTCTTGAAACGTGAAACCTCAAATTTTGAGAGGGTTATGTTTTTGAATTTTTTGGTCGATCACAATGTTTCATTATTGAAAATAATAAACCAAAAATCCAAAATTCCGACCTTGAAAGCCTTGTGGGTTCGCTGTAGTGCTCCAAAAACCATTGAAATTTCGTACTTCTTCAGGTCTACGCTAAACATCTTCGTTTTAGAGCGACATAGAAAAAAAAGGTAACAAAGGAAGTTCCTTATAATACTTCGATAGCGGAAGGTAGTAGCGGAAAAAAAGAGAAAGTACGTAGAATTAGTTGAAGAGATGAAACAATTGTACCATTTAAAAAAAAAAAAAAAATCTATTTCGATGATTTTTACTTTCACTTACCTATAAATGAAATATATAGTAAGGATAAGTATTGCGATCGTGAAAATTTTCGAGTCTGAGTTTTCAACGAAAATGCACGTTTTGAGGTACCTTGAGTCTAAATAACGAAGTTACGAAAAATGGTCTGTGTGTCTGTGAACACTAGCTCAAAAACGAAAATTTGTGCGGAACTGATATTACGTATTTAAGATAGGTATATGCCTTAGATGTGACAACAACTTTTTCCTTAAAATCAGCTAACCGGAAGTGCCACTTTATTGGTGTTATAGCTTTATAGCTTTCTAGATTTACGAAAAAATGCTAAATATAACTTTTGAAAGAATTTTATAATTGAATAAAGGAGAAAAAAATAAAAATGCTTATCCAGGTCTAAAATGAATCTCCGGAAATACCAGTCAGAAGGTAGACGTTTAATATATCGTTGGAAAGTGGATAATTTTAGATAAAACAATATCTAATATAGAAAGTTGTAGATGGTAACGAAGAGTGGTGAACAAAATATAAATAATAATTTTTGAAAACTTATATTATTTAACGTTAATCACATGTTTTAACTAAATGTAAACTTATTATTAATTTTAGTGATGTTTCTAGTGGCAAAATTTATAACTTTATTTACAGTTCTATATTTCAACACTGTAATCACCTACTCTTGAATCAACTTACTCATTGTCTGTATCGATATAACTTTTCCAACTAGAAATATCACTAAAATGACATCACTCAAAAATGTTGAAATTGGAGTTAGTCATTCTGTCAACTGAAAGTCTGAGACTTAAGTTGTGTGGTTTATAAAAGGAGATGGAGTACCTATTTTAATGCCTACCGTCGATATTATCAATAGTTGTATGTAAGCTTTAAGCTTTAGCTCCGTGTAAACTTTCATAATAGCCCAACAATGACTGAAAATAATTTCTATTCAAAGTAGAGCGGTTAGTGAAAGTTGTGTGTTGCGCGCACATAATATTTTTTTTTAATTTGATAAAGTATTTAAATTTTACTCTTTCAAAGAAATGACATTGTTTAAGGTACTATCCTATTGTACTTGTGTGAAAGAAAAAGTGAAATATAAAAATATTTCGCAGATATGTGTAAAACCTTAAATATATTCACTGTAGTTTAATAACTCTAGATCTGATATTATATTTAAATAATTAGGTATCTATCGTCCGTTTATTCTGAAAAATCATCATCTAACCTTTTAGAAAATTAAATTAGCGAATAATTTCATGAATTTTCTCTTTGTAATATTCCAACAATATCCACTTACAATTAGTGTGACAACCTTTGACTTGTATGACAGACAATGGAAATCTCTTGATTCCATTTTAGTAAACTTTGCAAACTAATAGTCGTACAATCAATAATCAACGGATCATAAGCAGACCCTACACGTTAATTCATGAATGAACGTCACAAGAAGTGCCAAGATTGCCCGCTATCGCTTTGATCATGAAGACCCTTACACGTTCAATCATTACTGATCATTACTTTTGTGAAGTTTCAACTTTTTTTTCTCTCTTCAATTTATTGCCTGACTATTTAAAGAAAAAATAGTTGAAAATGGTTAATAATAATATAGACTAGGGATATAAACAACTATTTACTTTTATGAAATTATTTACTTAATAACGAGACCTAGGTAAACTAACCTATCTAGTAGTAAGGTTAGTCTCATAGAAAATCGTTTTGACAAAAGTTAGTAAAATATAAGTCTACTACTTACAAAAATTAAGGAAAGGTATTGCGAAAATAATAAATTTGTTGAGGAAAATGGGAAAAGAACTGATAAATATACACAACGTTAAAGTTTTTTTTTTCCTAAAGTAAATTGTGAAGTTTCCTCATTTTTTTTTTAATTTGTTGCCCACTTGACTATTTAAAAGAAATAGTTGAAGATGGTTTAAAATTATAAACAAGGGATATGAAAAATTATTTAACTATTTACATATAATGAAAATCAGAAATTTATAATGGTTGTGAGGCCTAGGTAACCTAACCTATCCAGCAGTATGGTTAGTCTCCCCACTACTTTTACCTCAGTCCCCCCTCCACTTCTCGTGAATGAACCTTTGATTTCCGGATGTTCGGAAATCCGCAGCGCACCACCATCAGTACTTCATTCACTACCTTACACGACAATTCGGAACGTCATAAGTGCAATTCCGATTGACCGTGTAGGGTCCCCTATACAATTCATAACCAACGGATCGTACATCCATAATCAACCGGTTTCTTTCCCACCATAACTTTTATTCCTGATATCTCGAGGGGGATGACCTAATGGAGAAGAGGATTTCAAAATGAGGGCTCACTCATTGGATTGATGAAGAATTGACGAAGATACGGCGTAGGACAAATATAGACCTTTGAGATATAATATATAAAGATTTTCTAATAGTAAATGAAAACAGAGAGAGAGAGAGAGACTTACCTGCATCTATAAAGACCGCATTGGCGTCCGGCTCGCCCCATGAGACTTTCGCTACTTTGAGAGCCCGCCCTTCGTGACTGTAACCGATTGTTTCTATAGAAACCATTTCGGGATAGTCATCCGACAAAGAATCCATCCATTTGTAAATTCCATCAAGTCTGTTGTAATTGTTCAACCTGAAACCTTCAAAGGTATATGTAACACACTGGCATTTAATCTGTATTTATAATTTATTCTAAAGGGACAACAGTCCCAGAATAATGAACAAATATCTTCATTACATTTTCACAGGTAGCGAGATCCGACTGACAGACATTTGTTTTTTTAATAAATGTTATAAATATTCAAAAATTCTTCAAATTAAAATTCTGCTTTCAAAATTATCATCAAATAATGTAGATTTTTTTACACACTTTTCGGACTATAACTCCCATTCTCATTGGTTCCAATCCCCTCCTTAGATCCCACACCAACTTTCCTTCACTCTACCTAAATGACCACCACATCACCTTTTACCCCTTTGTTAAAAATTCAGGCTTTTTCATAGATCAAACCCTCTCTTGCGATCACCATATCTCTCGTCGTGCAATTTCTACTCTCAAACTATTCCATCACTTCCGCCATCTTCTGCCAAAAAATAACCGTAGACTCCTAGTTTCCTCTCTCATCTTTCCCCACTTTGACTACAGCTGTGTGGTGTACGATGGTTTCACGGTGGAACTCCGTGATAGACTCAAAAGACTTATGAATAGCTTGGTAAGATTTCTAATTGAAACCCCGAGACGCCACCGTGTCTCCCACCACTACACTGAGTTAGGGTTGCTCTTCCCCTCCTTAAGAAGACAATACTTCCTAGACATTCCTTTATCAAATCATTACCGATCATCGTCCTTCTTATGCTACAACCTCTCCAATTTAAGTCCTCATCCATTCCTCACACAAGATCTCGACCTTCTGACCTATACATCCCTTCTCATAGATATGCCTCATTCCAAAACTTCTTTATAGCCCGCTCTGTCAACTTTTGGAATTCCTTCCCGATCAAAATTCGTCATACCCCCTCCGTATCCACATTCAAAAACCTCTTATACCAATTCCTGTTCCAAAAATAGTCAGATACCTGATAACTATTAATACTATATATATATTGGGTAGCAATGATATAATCATACGATAATACTCTGTAAGTGATATTACATGCATTTCCTGCTATTTCAATACATCTGTTATTTTTTTAAATATATTTTTTTATTCTATTATAACTAACTTTATATATATATATATATATATATATACAAGTAAAGTTTTTTTATGAAATGAACTTATTCTATCTCTTTTTCGTTCTTCATTTCTCAAAGTGTATGTTTATGTTGTTATATGTAAGTTACATATAACACAGGTATTATCTGTAAGTTACATATAATACAGGTATTATATGTAAGTGACATATAATACAGGTTAAATGCCAGTGTGTTACATAATGTAACACACTGGCATTTAACCTGTATTTATGGTTCATTCTAAAGGGACAAGAAGAAGCCTCCATTATATATAGTTTTGTTCATAGTTTTAAATGTTTTGTACATAGTTTTATCTGTATTGTATATAGCTTGTTAACCTAAGGTTTTTCTTTATATTTTAGTTTATTTTATCAATTTTATTTATTGCTTCAAACTTTTAGACCAGTAGTATTCTATTCTTGTTGTTCTAAAGGGACTTAGTCCCAGAATAAAGTATTTTTTCTATCTATCTATAAGTTGTTTTAGGACGAATGTCATTGCACATAACCCTAACATTTTCAATCGTTTAGCGCTTTCCCTACCAACCCTCCCACCCTTAGGAGAAGATAGCTATCCAACGTGAGATTTCTATTCGGGATGTTCTATTCCATAATAAAGTTATAAGTTTTTTTTATTTTATTTTTACAGACCATGTAGATATTTTGGCGCCTTAACAAGCCTGCTCCATCTCTGCATGTCCTGGGCTATTTCTTTCCGTTTATCTGTACGCAGCTCTATTGCATTTTTGTTGATTCTATCTATCCATCTGCTTTTTGGCCTTCCACGTGGTCTTTTGCCTTCTATTGAGGCATTCATTGTTACGTAGAGGCTTCCAAATGGATTGGTATGAGCTATGTGCCCCGCTCATCTTAATCTTCGTGCCTTCATATCATGAGATATTGATTGACCAGTTTTTGTAAGCAGTTTCTTTATTGGTCTTTCTTCTCCGTGTGTTAATACTCTGATTCCATATCGCTTCGGTTATCGTCCGAAGGATTTTTCTCTCAAATCTTTCTTCACTTTGTTCTAGGTTGCTGGTTAGTGTCCAGGTCTCACAGCCATATATTAGAACTGGCTTTATCTTTGGATTTCAATACCATTCAAAGGGAGAAGAAAGTTCTGTTTACGCTATTTATTCGCTGGTCTATTTCTGGCCATTGGTCATTCATTGAGGTTATTGTGGAGGTGAGATATTTGGATTTTTCTTCTCTCGAGAATTATTTCCTTTCTACGCAGATGCTGTTATTGGGGTGGAATTTTCGGCTTATTATCATATATTGCTTTTGTCTTCGTTTACTTTTAGACCGATCTGCTGTGCCTCTCTTATCATAATCTAAACCAGTTTCTAAATGTCTTCTTGATTACTTTCAAGGACAGCTGTATCATCTGCGTATCCAAGGATTTTATGATTCATCCCAACGTGGATCCGTACATTTTCCTGTGGTTTTGATCTTATTACCTTCTCCAGAGTTAAGTTGAACAACATAGATGATAGTACATCTCCCTGCCATAAGCCCATTCGAACTTTGAAGGCTTTAGATATTTCTCCTTGTATTAGGACTCTCATTTGGGTTCATTTGTACACGCCTTTGTCAATCTCACCAAATTGCCGGGAACTCCCAGTTCAGTCATTATTTTCCAAAGACCGCAACGTCCTGAGCTACTTCCCATCGTGTTTCGAGAACTTTTATTAGGATGAAGACCTGGTCTTGCGTTCTCCTCCCTTTTCCGAATCCTGCTTGGTGGTCGCCTAATATAAAGTTATAATATCACTATGAAAACTTAAAGAATTAATTTATACCTGATCTTCTCTTCTGAAAGATATTCTCCTTGTCTATAAGATTTTGGACATCATCGATCCGGACCAAATAGGGTATGTCCTGTTTCCTCAAGAATCTCTTCACCGCTCCCATCTTCCGTTTTTGAACTAGAAATTCAATGTTGGTTTGATTTCGGAACCACACATCCAATTCTGAAATATTTCAAGATAAATAAATTAATAAAAATAATTAAAAGGTGGCAACATACATTTTTGTCTCAAATGTCCATAATTTACTCTTCCCTCCCCCACTACCGAAGGTAGGGAAGCTTTGTATTCATGCGAGAGGTTAAAAACATTTTGTGCTCAGAATCGAAAATTTTCTCTCACGTTTTATACGCCATGCCAGAGCCTATCTTATTGTTTTGGGTGTCATTTTCAAGCTTCAAAACTTCCAGCTAAGAAATATCTTTCCGTTTTTTCTCTTATCCTGTCGCCTCTAAATAGAAATGATTAAATGGAGCCGCTTATTGCCAAAGTGAACCTTAGATATTCAGATAAGAATCGATCCCCATTTAAAAACATCCAATTAATCCGATCATGCGAATATTTTTTTTCAAAAACGAAACTAAATATTAAAAATCTGGTGCCCGCATCACCTCACTTTCAATTAAAAATTATAGACACTATATTTAATTACATTTCATTGTAGATATTTTTATTTCTTTAATTACACTTATATACACAAATATTAATTTTTATATCGCTGCAATCTATACAATAGAATATTAAACAATACCAACGATAGCATTTATGGAAATTGCCAATGTATATTTACATAATATTGTCGTATTCCGTATTATATTAAACTCATGTTATGTACGGAAGCCTGATATAATCTTTCGGGTGAGCTCGGGTACGATCGTATTCCTTTGGTTTCTCAATTACAACTATCCTCCGTTACGATTTCTTATTTCTCCTTTATTTAATTACCAAATCCTTCCATATTTTATATTTAACTATCTTTTATATTAGAGATTAGCGTGAAGTCGTCAATTGTTTCAAATTAAAAAAAATACAGGTACTTTAGAGGCTGCTAATATTGAACATTAACCATTTAAAACTTTTTAAAGCTTTATATTTAGTTAGTAAATTTCATTTTATTTCTTTGAAAACATGTGATTTTCGTTACATAATATTAGTTTTAACAAATTATTATTTTTAAGTTTTTTGTCACTCTCCAATGCCTTCTACGACTTTCTATATTAGATATTATTTTTTCTATAATCCTCCGCTTTCCAACGATATATTTAGCATTTTTTCGTAACTGCTAACGATCAGAGATTGTTAATTATTTAAAATAAATCAAATTAAAGGTACTTTAGAGGAAGATATATTGGACATTGCACATTTAAACCCTGTTAGAGAACATCAATCAGAATAAAAATGAATTTAATCGAAATCGTTAGAGCCTTTTTGGAAGAAATCGTAAAAATGTGTTTAGTCCATGATATAAAGTCCCACTTCCAGTTAGGCGATTTTTACGAAAAAGTTTCTGTAACATCCCTAGCATAAAAAAACCTTAAATATGCAATTTCACTTTCTAGACTGTTAACAAACACACACAGACCATTTTGTTGGACTTGGTCATTTGGACTCGAAAATTTTCAAGATCGCAATACTTATTCTTACTATATATTTTATATGTAGGTAAGTGAAAGTAATAATTTGACTAACCTTCGTTTTCAGCAAGATCTTGAAGAAGCTGCTGATCCTCGTTGAAGACATTGAGGATCTTAGAGCCATCGTACCTAGTATTGGCCGATACAAAGCACACAACAGAGAACAGCACTATCGTTATATCAATCCAAGTCGTGGCGTCCATGTTTCGTTAAGGTTTAGGAGGCAGCTTTGTATAAGTGACCTTTCTACCTGACTCAATATACCATTCAATTAAAAATTCTTTTTTATTTTTCTGTTTTTTAAGCATGGGTGCAAAGTTTTCATTCTGGTTGGGGGAGGGGAGAGAGGAGCTATGGATTATCCTCCCCCCCCAAAAAAAAAAGACAAGGAAGTTTATATCATGTATAAAAATAATGAGTGGCAATTAACATAATCAGCAAAATTATTGTAATAGGAATAATACAATATATAAGAAGAAAACGTACATATACATGTATATATATAATAATAATAATAAAAGGCTTAGCGAACCCGAAGGTTCGATGCCGACACCACCAATCGCTTATTACACACCTCCCTCCACCGTTCGCCGTTCGCCCTTCAGATCGGCTTTAATGCAATCTTCCCACCTTAGCTTCGGTCTACCCCTCGGACGCTCACCATTCGGCACCGCACATATTAACCTTTTAGGAACTCTCTCGTTACTAAGCCCAACAACTTTACAAGCCCATTTGATTCGCCGCGATGAAATTACTTCAATTATATTACCCGGATACAGCTCACGCAATTCGGCGTTGTGTAACCGTCTGAACTCTCCGGTTAACTCATCCTTCTTCGGTCCGGATATTCTACGCAATACTTTATTTTCAAAAACCTTAAGACGCTGCTCATCCCTTAATGTAAGCGGCCAAGTTTCGCATCCATAAAGAACTGTAGGCAAGATAATTGTTTTATAGATTCTAATTTTTAAGTTCCGGGACAAGAGGCGCGAACTAAGTAGTTTTGTCACAGAAAAATAACAAGCATTTCCCGCCTTCAGTCTAACCTTAATCTCTTCTTCGATTTCGTTTTTTCTAGTTATCGTAGAACCTAGATACCTGAATTTCTCTACCTGTTCAAACATATTATCATCTATATCGATATCACCAGTAGTATCGCCATTTTTGCAGCTAACCATATATTTTGTTTTATCCACGTTTATTTCGAGTCCTAGTTCTTTACCGGCTTTCATTAACGTTGTCGTATTTAGTTTTATAGTTTCAACGTCTTCGCTTAACAGTACCAGATCATCAGCATAGCCCAGCACGGATATACATGTATATATAATTTATTATTGTTTTTTTTTTCTTCTTTATTTATTATTATTTTTTTTATTTATTTAATTTATTTATTATTATTATTATTTATATTTTTTATTTTTCTTCAGCCTGGGAGAACTTTTTTGGACCCCCTTTAGCTCACTGTTTTCAATTGAATCACATTCTTCATATAGAAAATTACTTTAGCGAAGTTTCATTGAAATCGGTACATTCGTTTAGGCACTACGGTCTGTGGCAACGCAGGTTTTTCGGCCGCCATTTTGAAAGTAAAAGGCGAGTAGTAATGTCGATGAAGGAGGATCATCCTCGGGTGATTTTAAATCCAAATTTGAAAAAAAAATCGGTCCAGTAATTTCGGAGAAAATGCGCGGACGGCGGAAGGACAAACACATTTTTATTCGGTATTCCAATTCTACGTATCCTGAAACGTGAAACCTCAAATTTCGAGAGAGGGTTAATTTTTTTTTTTTTTTTTTTTTTTTTTTTTTTTTTTTTTTTCTTCACAATGGTTTATTATTGAAAATAATAATAAAAAAAATACATGTATATATAATTTATTATTATTTTTTTATTATTTTCAATAATGAACCATTGTGATCGAAAAAAAAATCAAAAAATTAACCCCCTCTCGAAATTTGAGGTTTCACGTTTCAGGATACGTAGAATTTTAATAACGAATAAAAATGTGTTTGTCCTTCCGCCGTCCGCGCATTTTCTTCGAAATTACTGGACCAATTTTTTTCAAATTTGGATTTAAAATCACCCGAGGATGATCCTCCTTCATCGACATTACTACTCGCCTTTTACTTTCAAAATGGCGGCCGAAAAACCTGCGTTGCCACAGACCGTGCCTAAACGAATGTACCGATTTCAATGAAACTTCGCTAAAGTAATTTTCTATATGAAGAATGTGGTTCAACTGAAAACAGTGAGCTAAAGGGGGTCAAAAAACGTTAACTCTCAGGCTGGAGAGGAAAATCAGAATGAAAGTCTTAAAAATCCTCTGATAAGTTCTCGGGAGCTGGCTACCATGGTCCAATCAACGTCTGGAGTTCAGATTACTAGCAGGACAATTAGACATGCCCTGAATTCGGAAGGGCTCCATCGTAGAGTTCCAAGGAAGAAGCCACACATCAGTGAAACGAATCGCAAAAAGCGCCTTGCTTTTGCTAGGGGATACGTACAGAAACCCTTAAGTTTGGGGGAAAATTTCATCTTTTCTGACGAAAGCAAATTTAATTTGTTTGGTTCAGATGGTCGAAGGACGATATGGCGACATCGTAATGAAGCCCTAAAGAATCAAAATGTTTTAACAACTGTAAAGCATAGTGGAGGACATTGGTTTGGGGGTGTTTTTCCTACCATGGCGTGGGAAATCTTGTGAGCATCGAAGGCATTTTAAATGCGGAAGGCTATGTGAACATTTTGCGACGTAATTTGCGTGTTAGTTCCGAAAAAATGGGAATCCAGGATCAGTACTATTTCCAGCAGGACAACGATCCAAAACATACTGCGAGGAGAACAAAGGAATGGTTAATATCTAATGTTCCAAGACAGCTCCACACTCCTCCTCAGTCATCAGATATAAATATCATATCGAAGATATAAATATCACAATTTATGGCACACCCTTGACCAAAATGTAAGAAAACACCATATCACTAGTGGACATCACCTTAAACAAGTTCTTGTTCATGAATGAGAACAAATAAAAGTAGATTTAATTAAAAACCTAGTGCATTCAATGCCCAGACGTCTACAAGCAATTATTGACGCAAATGGCCTATTTACAAAGTATTAAAACTATTAAAATTTAAAATAAACTTGTAAATGTGGAAGTGTGCAAATACTTTTTTTCCAGCACTTTTATTGTTTTAATTATTTTGTTTGATTATGAAGTGTTTTTATTTTTGTGTAAAAAAGTTTTTTCAGTTTTTAATAAATTTACTTTTCATTTTTGCAAAGGAAAGTGAAGTTTTTTTGTTTCCTTGAACTACTTTATTCATAAAAACGTGTTGTGCAAATACTTTTTTCCATCACTGTATCTATCTATCTATGACTAAAGGTTTTCTTCCAATAAGTCACAAAATTTCTACTCGCTTCTTGGACTAAAATGTTCAATTAAACGCAAAAGTAATTTTTCAAATTAGACAAAATCTTCAGCATTACGTACATTATAAAAACCAAAAACACATAGAGTTAATCAACATTTTTCGTATTAATACTCCTCAAAGTTTTCTGAACTAAACATAGATACTTACATACATATCCTCATACAGCTCCTCGTAAATTAAAACTGATTGCACTTACAAAGAGACAAATAGTAAAGTTAAAATTTTTTATGAAACCATAAATATGCCATTAAACAATGAAAACGTGACTGAATAATACTTAGCAAATATAATAATTATTTTCATTTAATAAATAAAGACAATAAAAAGGACCTTTTCATAGGGTTTTACTTGTCAAGAATTGAGTGTAATAATAATGAATTGTTGCAGCTCGTCAATAAAAATATGTACAGCACAGGATACAAAAGATAACAACTGATTGTTACTAGCAGCGGCGTTACTTTAGTAATCGGTTTCTATGGCAGTGGTCGCAAAAGGTATAATAAACTTTCAATTTAGGCAACATATTTGAAAAAAATAATTTATAAAAGCATGTACGGCATTCGGAATTAATATAGAATGAAACCATTTCAGTAAGACCAATCGTTATTATTATTGTTAATTTTTTTAATAATAAATAAAATATACATATTTTGAATGTAATATTTTGTAAAAATGATAATTTATAGCAAAAGGTTATTGACCGAATCAATTATAAATATGTATTACCTATATTACTATCAAGGGCACGGGCGGATCTATGGGGGGGGGGCTTTCGGGCTGAAGCCCTCCCCAAAATGGTAAAACATAACCACTTTTTATGGGGAAAAAAATTAAAAAATACCTCTTAAAGTATTATTGTTGGTTTAATTACATTTAAAAGGACTTAAGGAATCACTTAAACACCATTTCATATAGATAGTTAGTTTCTTTCTGTTTTTAAAAAGTAAATATCGTTATTTTTATGAAAAAAAAATCTTCCGGGCTGAAGCCCCTCCAAAATTAAATCCTGGATCCGCTAGTGATCAAGGGGACATAGTGATAGAAGAAGAGCAAATCAACATACAACTAAATAAAAATAAAATACATAGTAATGAGCTGAAAACTATACCCCAGTATCAATTATGAATTACAAAGTTTTTTTGAATTTCTCTTCAATCTTTTCCTTCGCATTTTCTTTCAGTTTTTGTTTCTATACTTTTCCTGTAGTTCTATATGCGGAAAAGGAATAAATAATATTAGATATAAATTTATTTAGATGCAGGTAGGAATATTTACTTACTTGTTTTTGGTATAGTTTTCTTGATTGAATTTACCAGATAAATATCAAAATCTCAAATTACCGCAGCTGATTTTTGTATTCATCATTAGCAGAGAGTTCAACGAACATTTTGATTACAGTAAGACCTTGGCGGTCGTTGGCACAAGTTAATTTCCGATGGAAAAACGAAATTTCAGGATTTGTTGGGTAACTTATCCAATGAAAATAAAAAAAAAAACCTGTACCACTACAACCCATGAAGGGTCGGGGTTCAGTACTATTTAGGGAAAGCACTGTTTCTAGGTCAACGGCTGTGCAAGGAGGTGATTTGACCGAGATCGCGCTCAACCGCCAGGTTTTCCCCCTTCTACAGGGTACCCACTTTATAGAGGCTGGGTGTGACCCAGGGTCGCCCACGGCCAATGAAACAGATAAATAAATTTTCTGCCATGAGCCGGGGTTCGAACCTGGGACTTTTACATTGGAAGCTCAGTACCCTACCACTGAGCTACCTCACTCCTCATTCAATGAAAATAGGATTTTTTTATTTATTTATTAAGAAATAACTTATTTAAGAACTTATTTGACTGATTGTGTAAACAAATTACACAACAAAAAATCATTTTGAGAGTTCAGCGAAAATGGCTTATATATACTTAATGATTTATAACAAGTTGCATGCCTAAATTGGCAGAAACAGGCTTTTTATTTATATTTTATTCAATATCTTGGAAACTGGAATTTTTATTCGTTCCTAAACTTTAAGAATTTAATTATGTTAAATTTATTATTTAACTATGTCGGACAACCAAAATTTGAATCATCATAACACGTTGAAAATAGTGGTTTTTACCGCTCTCAGACTACTGTGCGGCGATATTTTCGGCATTGGGTGTTAGATGTTTCTGGAATGCACGTACTTATTTCTATAAACAAGTTTTAACAATTTTGTTGTCCAGACCTAAATTAAATGTAAAAAAAAATTATTTAATACTGTTAATGCTGCTATCATCATTGTAAAAATAGTATCAAAAAAAAGAAGACTTTAAGCAATGGACTCAGCCATGGTGACAAATTCATTTCTAATTTCAATCCTTAAACTCCTACAACAGCTTTTAATAAAAATCATCAAGAACAAATTGGGAGGTTTAAAAAATCAGATGGTTTCAAAATTCGATGATAAATTTTGTTTTGAGATTTCGATGCGATCATCAAGAAACGTGAATTTTTTTTTTATATATGATATTTACAACTATAAAAAAAAATACATCTAGTAAATTCGCAAATGGATATAATGACATGAAACACATGTTGAGAAACTATCCATTGGTAGTACTCTAATAATATGGCTATATTAGGGGATCACGTGGCCATTTTCTTTTCAGACGCCTCGGAGGGTTATCAGGAATTGAAGAGGAAGCAAGGTTAGAAACAAGAGGGTTGGGATGGTTATGAAGTTTATTATGGAAGGATATGTATCTGGATTGGGCCAGATCTGATACATAAGGAACATTAAGGTCATTATGGATGGTTTTATTTGTAACAAAGTAGGGAGCATTGAGGATTTTACGAAGGATTTTGGATTGTAAGGATTGGATTGGAAGTCCTAAAATGCTTCACCATTGAGGCATTACCCATTTAAACATTCCCATCACTAGTGGTGCTGAAATTCTCGAATCTGGCGTTTTGAAATGTATTTCATGTCGAGACTATTGAATGAATCTTGACCTTCCCGCTCTTGTCAAAATAGATTTGTTTGTACTAGAACAAAAAAAATTGATATTTGACATCGAAAGGTTAGCATAAAGTGATCGTTATCAATCTTACGTTTCCGTACCTCTTTATTAATTTTAAACTATATTCCAAAGACAACTACTAAGCGTTCAGTAATGAAGGCAGAGTAACTATACTTATTTCGTCGAGATCCTGCCTACAACCGTTGCAGTGTTGGGGTTGTAATAATAATTTTTTACTTTCACTTACCTATGTATGAAATATATAGTAAGGAAAAGCATTGCGACTGAAAATTTTTAAATCTCAGTTTTTAACAGAAATACATGTTTTGAGGTCCCCTGAGTCCAAATAACCAAGTTCAGCAAAATGGTCTGTGTGTGTGTGTGTGAACAGTCTAGCTCATAAACGAAAAGTAGTAGAAACTGATACTAAGTATTTAAGGTTTGTATATGGGCCGGATGTGACAGCAACTTTCTTGTTAAAATCGCCTAACCGGAAGTGCCACTTTATATGAACGCTGAAACACATTTTTACAATTTTCTCAAAAACGGCTCTAACGATTTTGATTAAACTCGGTGTATCATTGTATAATCAAGCGGTCTTTAATGTCATTTAATTCTTATCCCCGTTGATATCACTTTTAAATGCCCAATGTGTCTTCCACTAAATTACCTTTAATATGTGTTTATTTTAAAAAGTTAACCATTTCGCATTATTCAGAGTTACGAAAAAATGCTGTGGTTTATAAAAGCAAAGAAAGTTGTGTGGTTTATAAAAGCAGATGTAGTGACTAGATTTTTATTGCCTGTCGTCGATATATATACACTTCAAAAAATTGTATAATAGCCCAGCATTGCCAGAAAATAATTTCTACTCAAAGTAGATCGGTAAGTGAAAGTTGTGTGTTGCGCGCACCAGATTTTTTTATTAGTAATGTATATTGAAGTTATTTGATGAACTATTAATTAATTATTCTCAGACATCGATATTTTGCTACGTCAGGAAGGAGTTGTAAACAATAAATTGGCGAATCTTTGCCATTACGAATTGAAATTTTCAGGATGAACGACTAGTTTAATATATCGTAAAAGTCAATTAAAATTTAAATAATTATAATTGTGGAAAAAAGTTTATGATTAGACTTTCTAAAAGTTTCTAAACTCGTCGCTGAGCTCATCGTTGGCTCAGTGGTTTCATTGACTTTGAACCACTGTGTGTAACCTTATTTTAATCTCAATGTTGTTATTTCTCAATTTACTTTATATATTTATATTCACTTTACTTTATAGCTACATTTGTTTCTGTTTAACAATTCAACAATGCAGTGGATTATGGGTACTTATCTAATAGCGGGCAGCATCCGACTGCTATCTGCCAATGTTTATAACCTTAACACTGATAAGCTCTTCGTATTCATATTTATTGTATTATATTCATATTATTATATCTTCGTATTCATATTTATTGTATTGTATTGATATTATTGAAATTGTGAACAAAAACAGAAACAAATGTAATAATAACAAAATGCTTTTATTTTACAACGTATTCATTAAAATAGACAAAACATCATAAGTATATAATTAAAAAACATTACGAAAACATTGCAACATATAAATGAAATAATAGAAATAGACAAAAAAAGATGAAATAATAAAAAACCACTTAAACAGCATATGTACATATAAAACAAACATTATGAAGAAACGATAGAAACAAAATATGAAATATATTTTTTTATTCGACCTGTATAACATGTCATGGACACAAACTTCTCTTAAAAATTTGTTCCATGCTACGACAGTTCCGATGGATAGTTTGAGCTGCTCTTTCCCCCCATTTTGATACTTAAAGTACCCAATTTAATAATTTAAAATTGAGAAAACCCGTTTTACTCAGGCACTGCGACACTAGACACTGGTTGCTCCGCAAATGTGCCTGCCACAGTTGGGCCTTACAGGTACCGGCAAAGCGAACGACCCTACTCCGAGGGGCACAAAGGAATATCCATCGAATTGTTGAGCAAAATGACACTTCATCAGTCGCCGAAATAACAGAAGAGGTCGCGTTTACTTTAATTACCATCTTCTGGTGGAAATATATTTCATAAATATTATTATTAGGACAGATTCCAAAGAAAAACCTTTTATTACAGAGGTGAACCACAAAACAAGATTTGAGTTTGACAAAAGTTAATTTAATAAAAACCTAGAATTCTAAAAAAAATATATATTATCAGATGAAAGTAAGTTTAACATATTTCATTCTAATGGCAACAGGTTCGTTTGGCGGAAACGTGACACTGAGTTCCAAACTCGACATGTGAGGCCTTCTGTAAAACATTGAGATGAAATTGTCCAGGTCTGGGAGAACATGTCATGGAATGGCGTTGAAAACTTAACCGTTGTTGACAATATTATGGATGCCGAACATTTCTCCACATAATTTATCCAGCAGAGCCGCAAATTTGAGGATCGAAGATGTATTTATCTTTCAACAGAACCATGACGCCAAGCACACACACAATAAAACAAAAGAATGGATGCTGTACAATGTCTCCAGCCAAAACACGCCACCACAGTCTACGTATATAAATGCCATAGGACACCTGTGGTACCTGTTGGATTTGAAAGTATGAAAAATAAAATTATTTAAAAGAAACTTTGTCAGAGGGATGTCTTAAAATTGGACTAGACGTAACTCAAAATTTTGTATTGTCGGCAACAAGAAGATTCCAGGATGTCATAGATGCAAAGTGTGTCAAAGAAGTGTACCAATACTTTGAAGTGATTTTTTTTAATTAAGTAAATTTAATTATTTTTTATCCTAATTATGTATTTTTATAAATCTTTTATTAAATAAAAAATGTTTAGCAAATCATTTTCGGATTCTCTTTTACAATGAAACCAGAGCTAGTCGTTGCTGAACTAAGCATAAATCGATGTCCATCTTTGCTGGATTCGATTGATTGAATTAGCTCAGAATTTAGGAACTTGCCCTTTTCTATTTCGTTTATTTCATTTCTACCTCTTTGTTAGGTGTTGTTAATTTTTAACCTTCTTTACATTGCCAGGCGGTTGAATCATGGCAGGAACAAGGCGATTCAAAAGGAAAAGAAAAGAATCTAATGAAAAGGTTTAAACTTATAAATTGCACTAGTGTATGGACTTTATTAATTCCGTAATATTTAGTTCTAATTTTATGATCTTGTTCTAGAATGGTAACCAGCCAGAAAATGGAGATAAAAGGAAATCTTATGATTCAATTGTTAAGGAGAATGAAGATTTCGATAAATATTACAAAGTAAGTTTTATTGTTTGGTCTTACATGTATTTAAAAAAAAAAAAATAATTTATTGAATGCATTAACAATTTTTTAGTAGAATAACAGTCTGAAAAGTGATGTAAATAATTTTACCAAATTAGCTAAAAGTAGTTGGTTTAGGTGTTATTTTCTGATCCCTTGCTGACAATACATTTAATTTTGTTGTTAACAAGTAAAATTTACCAACTTCATTTTTATATTTAAACTCTCCTTAGTTATCCATGTAAAATATTTTACACATTAATCATGATTTTACATACTCTTGTTAATGAAATTTTTACATGTCTCAGAAACAAGGTGTTGTACCTGAATCTGAGTGGGACGAATTTTCAGCTACGATGAAGAGAGACTTACCCACTGCATTTCGAATAACAGCATGCTCTAGAGTAGAAGCTGAGAGGCTGTTGAAGATTGTAAAGGGCGAATTTTTTGAAAAATTAGTGAATCCAGAAGACAATTCTGAAAAGAAACAACCATTTCCATTGCCATGGTAATAATATAAATTCTCCTTAGTTTTATCCTTAATTGTTTTATCTAGTTAATTAAAAATGTTACTAGTTGTGAGTGATCTATCTGGATGAAGCATGACCCAAATCACCATTATCCTTATTGTACTTGGATTGCTGGAAATAGCCAATAGCCGTGTTTGTCCAAAGGAGTGAAGAGGCAACCACTTTACGGAATTCTACAATTGGCTATGATTCTATTAGACATAGTTTTTAATCATCAATTTCATTTCTTCCTGCTAATAATAGAGATTACAGTGTGAATTTCATTATACACAATGTTTGTATTACATTGTGTGTTGACGATCAGATATTGAAATAAGTGGTTCACAATCACTTCGAAGTTATCTATTATCTGTTGAATTTGAAATTGTTCATCAAACTTCTTAGATATAAGAGTCCACTATTAAGTTGACAAGGACACTTTTTATGGTAATAATGACAGATTAAAGGTTGGGCGAGAAAGGTAGACAGAATTAATAATTAAATGTACCTATTAATCGTTATATAGATAAATATTTATTCCAATAATGTCCAATCCCATTGGGACCCGTAGATCTGCTGGTTGGTTGGACTATACAGTTAACTTATTTCTTTTCTTTTATATATTATTTATTTATTTTCTATTTAATTTAATTTTCTCTCTTTAATCGCTTTTATATTTAGTGAATGAATTAGCTGCATAATTATTGTTATTTGTAGTTATTTTGCTAAGTAATTCGAAAATGGGGACTGAATGTAATCATTCTTAAAAAAAATAAATATATATCATATATATTTTCGAGGAAGGAATTAACGTACTGAAGAAACAAATGATGAAGAATATCTCATAATTCCGAGATAATGAATCATAGAAATCATCAATAAGAAAAATAAATCGTGAAACAGCATTCAGAGATATAACAATTAAAGCTTTTTATCTATTAATATTTCTTTTCCATAGCTGTATAATATAAGTACAAGTTCGATTAAGGTTACATGATGTAGCCTAAATTTCGAATAAAAGTCGGCTCCTGCTATAGAACTGAACATGGTTAAGGTTATAGAAATACTTAAATAATGAAAAAGTTAATAGTAACTGACTCAAGAGATCGGTCGCCTTCGTTCTCTTTCGAGTAGACCTGAGCGCATCCGCCACTCCATGAACAAGTTTAATCGAAGTGATTGTGAACCATGCGTAATCCGTGCGGAACTCATGTGAACTAGAACCAAAATATATATGTGTTTCCTCGATTCGTTCAATTCCAATTCAATATTCTTTCTATTGAACTTTTTTTTATTTTAAAATAATTGTTTTCCAAATATCAATTGGAACTTGGTTCTGTAAACTATTAACACTTACATCAATATTTTTTATAATCACAGCACTTTCTCTAACTATATATATATATATATATATATATATATATATATATATATATATATATATATATATATATATATATATATATATATTTCATTTATATGTAAGAAACTTATATATGCAAATTAATAGTCGAATAAACTGTAATGTGAGGGGGTTAAAATGATATGATAGGTAGTCTGGGCCTAATTAATATCACAGTTTATTGGCAATTCAGAGACGATGGCAGATTCATAGTCTATATGATCTTCTTTGACGTGTAAACTCACAGCGTGACAATTATTGATTAGGTATCCGAACAACTTCGGTTGGCAGTTGGATCTTACCAGGAAAGACATCAGGAGGTCCGAAGCCTACTTCAAGTTGCACAACTTCCTCATTTCCGAAACTGCTACTGGTAACATTTCCCGACAAGAAGCTGTAAGCATGATCCCTCCTCTCCTACTAGATCTAGAAAGCCACCACAAGGTTAGTGTTTCTTTTATTTTTTTCTATATTCCTATATTATATATTTATATATTCCTATATTATACATTATATAATGAAACTGTACTGAATAGGGTAGCTCAGTGGTAGGGTACTGAGCTTCCAGTGCTCAAGGTCCTAGATTCGAATCCTTGCTCATGGCAGAAAAATTATTTACTCTGTTCCATGGGACGACACGATAGAGACCCTCCTGGGGCGCACACTATAAAGTGGGTACCCTTAATTAAATAAGGGAGAAAACCTGGCAGTTGAGCGGGATCTCGGTCAAATCATCTCCTTGTACAACCGTTGACCAAGAAACAGTGCTTTTCCTAAATAGTATTGAACCCAAGACCCTTCATGGGTTGTAGTGGTACTGGATTTTTTTTTTTTTTTTGTTATATAATGAAACTGTAACGATGATATCAATTGGCACCTCTGATTTAAATTAACTTTAGCGAAAAAGTTGCTGTGACATTCAAAGTGTGACATATTTTAAATATTTAATTTTAGCATCATGGGTCTTGTTGTTTTTGAACTATGCCGGTCACAGACTTTTTTTTTTCTTTTTTTTTTTACCTTGAAACATATATTTCTTTTGAAAGCTTGGTTTTATGTAATATTATTATCATATATTTTAAATATGCGTAATTGAAAGTAAAAAAAAAAAAGTTGGCAGCAGTTGTACTTTTTTATACTTAAAATAAAAACTAGACAAATGCTCTAAGCTTCCATTAAACCATAAACAACTCATTTACTATACTATAATAAGGCCTATTTGGACTAATGGAGTTGAGCAATGTAGCTCAGCCAAACCATTAAGTTTCTCTCGTTTCCAATCCGTCCAATACAAAATCCTCAATGCTCTTTATTATGTCTCAAATAAAATTATCCATAATGACCTTAATATTCCATATGTAGAGACCAGATCTTCATGTAGTAAAGGTAAAAAACTCAAAATGTACAAAATCGTGCAGTAAAAACACAAAATATGTAAAATTGCTTAATTTTCACCTGAAATCGTGCAAAAATCATCTATTTTGTGTTAAGCTTTTGAATTAAATATGTCACAAAAATAATAATAATAATAATATGCAACATTGAAAATTAAAACTAACGACAACAATACATAATCTAATACAACAATAAATTACAACAACCGAACTCTTGAAGAAAGAGAAATTAAAAAAAATAAATAAAGACTGACATAGTTAATAGACAATTTCTAGATAATTCTTACGATTTTTCACCAATATAGCATTGATTACTCTTCAACTAATATTACAAAGAATTACTGGGTACAGAACTTTTTATTTTTTATTTTCATTATGTATTCCAAATGTAGGGTGTAATTAGGTTATAAGTTTAGGGTTAGGAGGGTGTAATTATTTTATAAGTGATATGAAACAATTTAAATTCAACATTAATGACCCACATTAACTCAATTTGATATGCTCTATGCCAAACAACCAACAGAATCCATACAAAAATAAAATAAAAAATATCATTGACTATCTCTCAATGAATCCCAGACATCAAATTGCAACTTTATATGAAAATTACTCTATTACATTATATTTTAAATTTATGATTTGTTAAGTATCTTTTTTTCAGAATATATAAGAAATCTTTTACTTTTCTTTTTTTAGGTTTTAGATATGTGCGCTGCCCCTGGTAGTAAAACTGCTCAGCTGATAGAACATTTGCATTCGAATACTCCTATACCAAGTATAAATATTTTAACTTTTTTTTTTAGTATTATTTTTATTTTTTACTTTCACTTATCTATATAAGATATAGTAAGGGTAAGTATTGCGATTGTGAAAATTTTCGAATCTGAATTTTCAATGGAAATACAGGTTTTGAGGTCCCCTGAGTCCAAATAAGTCCCAAGTCCTGCAAAATAGTCTCTGTGTGTGTATGTGAATAATCTAGCTCAAAAACAAAAAAATCGTACGAAACTGATATTACGTATTTAAGATAGGTATATGGACGAGATGTGACAGCAACTTTTTCCTTAAAATCGGCTCACCGGAAGTGTCACGTTATATCAATAGTTATACACTTTTTTTGCAATTTTCTCAAAAATGGCTGTAACAATTTTGATTAAATTCGGTGTATCAGTATATTATTATGTAGTCTTTAAGCTAGGTTTTTCTCCCTATTGATCTCACTTTACAGGACTTAAATGTTCAATGTTCAACATGCCTTCCTCTAAAGTACCTTTAATTTGGTTTATTTTAAATAAGTAACTATCTCTGATTGTTAGAAGTTACCAAAAAATGCTAAATATAAGTTTTGAAAGAATTTGATAATTGAAAAATGGAAAAAAAAGGATAATGTTTATTTAGGTTGAAAATGAATCTCAGGAAAATACCAGTCAGAAGGTATACATATCTTAGGAAACTGGAGGATTTTAGAAAAAAACAATATCTAATATAGAAAGTCGTGGAAGGCAATGGAGAGTGACAAAAAATTATAAATAATAATTTGTTAAAACTAATATTATGTAATAAAAAACCCATGTTTTTTAAGAAATAAAATTAAATTTACTAACTAAATGTAAACTTTTTTAAAATTAATTTAAGTTTGAAAAAGTATTTAAAATCCACCTAATCAAGGCAATAACATTGTTTAAAAACTATTTCATTGTACTTGTGTGAAAGAAGAACTGAAATATAAAAATATTTCATGGATGTTTATAATCTTACAGCATTTGTTTATAATCTTAAATATATCTACTGTAGTTTAATAATTCTAGAACTGATATTATACTTAAATAATTAGGTATCAACGCCCATTTATTCCGAAAAATCGTCATATAACCTTTTTTTTTCAGTTGAAATAATTAACCATTTTACATTAATCTTTGATATAAAAAATAGTTAACTATAAAATATGAAAGAATTTAATAATTAATTAAATGAGAAATAAGATATCTTAACGGATAATAGTTGTAATGAAGGAACCAAAGGAATATGAGCTCGTCCGAGCTCACCATAACTTGAGCTTAATATAATACGGACTCCGACAAAATTATGTATATATACATTTGCGGTTTTCATAAATGCTATTGTTGGTATTATTTAATATTCAATTGTACAGATTACAGCAATATAAAAATTAAAATTTGTATATATAAGGGTAATTAAACAAATAAAAATACCCACAATGAAATGTAAATCAATATAGCATCTATAATTTTTATTTGTCTGAAAATACTTATTTGTATAGAGGATGGTAAGTGAAAGTCATGTGATGCATGTACCAGATTTTTTTTAATGATTTACAAGAAAAATTTAGGTAGGTTGTACATTTTAAATTTGTAAAGTATCATTGATAATAAATATATATTAAAAATTATAGAACTTTTTAGCCATTCATTTATTTAAGAGTACCTAACTTTTATTTACTTTTTGACAGATTTATAAGTTAAAAGTTAAGCATAGATTTTGCTTTAAATAATAATTTATAACCATACTTAAGATATGAGAAGGAGTTAGTCGGGGGTGCGGTCAAATAAATACTAAATTAAAACATAGTAATTATTTTAGTCCTGTATGAATGCCCTATTGAGGAACAATAATTTCTTGATACCGTCTGCAAATAGAGGTATATAAATCGAAAATTAATAATATTCTTTTTTAAAATTAATTATAACAATCTATTTTAATTTATTATTTATATATTACAATTTTTAGAAATGGAAAACGACATTCTTTGAAATAAAAAAATGAATTAAGGTCGAATCATATCGCAATGATAAATTTTAAAAATTTTATGGCGCGGTGCATGGTAGGTGGATGATATAAGTTTATTCAAAATTAAAAATTAAGTTTTGGACTAAATGTATTACTTGTGGTTGTTAAATAATATGTGTCTGATAAGATTGTATTTGAATGGTAAAAAATAAATTAAAATTGGTTTTGCAGGTTCTTGAAAATGGCTCCTGAAGCCGAAACGTTGAATAAAGCGTACAGAAGATTAAAAAAAAATGTGTTTTTTTGGTGACCTTTGGCCTAAAATAGATATATGATAAATTATGAGAAAATGGCACCAAACCTGAAGGATGTGACTAGAAAAGTAATTATTTTAATGCACTGCGGGAAGCAGTTGAAACACTGCTTTTCAACTCAGTGTTTCAACTGCCTCCCTCAGTGCTACATCCTACACGACCTGCAAAGTGGGTCGAAGCGTCGGCAAAATTAAAATAATTACTATGTTTTAATTTAGTATTTATTTGACCGCACCCCCGACTAACTCCTCATATTATATCAACGGTCAACCATCTCTACATCATACTTAAGATAAATTAACCTCATCATAAAATATTGTTTAGTTATGATGATAATATATTATCACTTGTCCGATAATCTTTGAGTTAGCAGCTCTGATGAAGGCCTGAACTTAGGCCGAGATGTCGCCACAAAGGAAATAAAAATAAATATAATTTATTTTTTTTACTTTTTAGTTTCATTGACTAAAACCTTAACCAATTTTTGTTCAATATAATATATTTTCATTTTGATTTTTATAGGTGGCATAGTTGTTGCCAACGACATTGACAATTCTCGCTGTTATATGCTCGTCCACCAGGCGAAGAGGCTTAGCAGTCCCGTTGTACTCATCGTTAATCATGATGCATCGTCCATGCCAAATTTTATCACAAAAACAGAAGGTTTGATATTTTTAAAATAGTAAATTATAAATTTAGTTCTTAATATCAACTTAAGAGTTTATCTTATGGCTATCTGCTGCTGAAATAATTTTCAGATTCATATTTAGTTAACCTTACCTTTAGGTTTGTTTTAGCCTCGGTTTTTGAAACCTTTTCTCAATCTTAATTTTTTATCTTATCATTTTTTTTTTCACTTCTATTATTGCTGTACCATATTTTTTTTATTAATGAGTTCCCTTTATTTATTTATTTCCCTTTTTATAGGAGGTGAATCCTTTTTAAAATTTGATCGCATCCTCTGCGACGTGCCCTGTACCGGAGACGGCACTTTAAGAAAAAATGCAGATATTTGGCTGAAATGGAATCCTGCCAACGGCAGTAATCTTCACGGGTAGGTTGTCGATAATTAATTATAAATTTGTTCATATTTTGGAAATTTTTTTAATTATATTTATTACGTTTACAGAGTCCAATACAGGATATTGAAAAGAGGTATTGAGCTGTTACAAATTGGTGGAAAAGTGGTCTATTCAACTTGTAGCATGAACCCTCTTGAAAACGAAGCTGTTGTCGCACGTATCCTCTCCGAATTTAAAGGTGCAATAATGAATAATTAATTTAATTAGCTTTAAAAAATCTTGATACTATAGTCTTATAATTTTCCTTATTTTATTTTTTTTATTTGCTTTTTAAGGAGCTTGGTATTGTCATTACTATTTCTGTTAATGTCCCTGATTTCTATATAATCATTGGGTGATGTGGGCTCACCTTTTTTCTGTATTGAACTTAAAACTAAAATTATAGTTAAATTTAATTCTCAAACATTTCTTACCATTGCTGAGGTGATCTAAGAGGTTGACTAGATAAGGGCTTTTATTACAATTTTTACTGATTCATAAAATTTGCCATTTCTTTGAGTTATCAAAAGTACTACTGTAATAGTTAAATATAAGTGAGTATCAATGTTATCAAATTCTATCCACTATTCTAAAAAAAAAAAAACTTTTGCTTTCTGATCAGTGAACGTATTATTTGACACGCCTATACTTTGAAAACGGCTAATTTGATTTAACCGAAACTTAAAGGAATTTTGAAAAATAGTTTAGAAATTGTCTAGTACCAATTTCATTGAATTCCATTTGATAATTAAAATTAGTATAAATAACTGTTAACAATATAATGGCTGTGAAATGTGGAAGGCATTGATCATAAGGAATGGAGATTAGGTTAGTACAATATTTTTATGAGGTTATAAAACTTTAGATTTTATTCTAAAAGTTAATTTTTACTGTATTGTTTGGTCGATTCCAAACATTACTGGAATGACACTTACTGCCTTCACATAGATTTCATGTTATTTTCAGTAAAATTTAATCTATTTTTATTCCGAGTTTGTAAAAAAAAAAAAAAAAGTCTTATTTGTAATTGTGTTTATTTCTATTGAAGTTCAATCAGGTCATCGTGGTCTCGATTTCTTCCTTAATCATCAAAGTTGTGTATATTTCAAGCATATTTTTATATTCCAACTTAAATTATTTTTGTACTGACTGAAGGAAAATATTGGTATCGCTAACTCCGAACAATTAAACAGATTAATTTTTCTAATGGATTTTTTGTTCCATCCATTTAATGAATGAAAATATGCCTATTAAGTATGTTATCACTACTGTTAATGTAAAAGGTTGCTTGTAAAAATTTTCATTTTTATTGAAGAGAAGAATAGATCAGTCAGAAATAAGAAGTAAAAAATCAATGATAATATTTATTTTGACATTTGCCGACGTTTCGACCTGAAGTTCAGGCCTTCATCAGGGCTAAGAAAAGAACCAGATAACAAGGTATGAGAAACATGAGTAATGTAGGTAAAAAAAATTAAAGTAAAATGAAGTGGGTAGAATAATGACAATAGTAAGAACTAAGAGATAAATAATAATAACCGTTACAAAGTGTGGAATGATGAAGTAAACATAATCAACAAAGGTGCATAAGTATTAAAAAAGTATTAGTCATTATTCTACCCACTTCATTTTACTTTTTTTTTTTTTTTACCTACATTATTCATGTTTCTCATACTTTGTTATCTGTTTCTTTTCTTAGCCCTGATGAAGGCCTGAACTTCAGGTCCAAATGTCAAAATAAATATTATCATTGATTTTTGCCTTCTTATTTCTGACTGATCACCCCAACTGTTCTTCTCTTGATTATTCACGACAGTCAACCATTTACCCACAATTTTTCATTTTTATTCTATTTTTATGCTAAAGGTGATATTTTTTAGTCTGCAATTGATATAGGATGTCATCTGCTATGAAAAATAGCAGAGGACAATAAAATGTGAAAATATGCCAATAAATCATAAAGAAATAGTTAGTTTTTATACTCTCCTGTAAAACACTGTACTTCCAAAAATGGCTTATCTCAGAGATTTTATTCTCATACCAAAAATTATAGACCTTGAAATATAGATAATGTTTAGCCAATGAAAAAAGTGAGGAAGCTATGCTGACCTTACTTGGCAGAGGTTTTTTTATTAAAGTGAGCCAAAAATGATGAAAGTTTTTCAAGAGTAGTTACTCGATAAACAATATGTTTTAAAAGTTTATTTTTGTATTTTTTAATTTAAACTTTAATGGTAGCTTCTTCTTCCCTTTTTGATATGTAAAAACAATATCCTCCATTACTCTCAATGTTTAATTTACAACAGATGTTATTATGGCTTCCTGACATTTTCAAAAAGCTATTCACCACTACATTCAACTTCAGTTTACTTCTCCTGTACTAAGTCGTTCACGGCCAGTTTTGACCTACGGGTGTGAAACATGGACTTTGATGAAGGCCAGTGAGAAAAAAGTCATTAGTCCTCAATCTAGACTAGTTCAAAGCTTTTTGCATTGTTCGTATTGTATTAGTGTTTTAGAACATTATCAGTAAATTAATTTCAATTATTCTCCATTATTATTCAACAGTTATTATCTTTGTTTTATTGCCTCTCCGTAATTTTCCATCATCTTTCTATTAAACTTTCGTTTAATTATCCATAATATTTATTAGTAATGTATCTCTCGTCCTTATTTACGCTTCCGCTACTTTAGTTCAAACTTCGTCAGATAACCGTTAGAGATGATGCCACAATACATCTCTTCTCTCCCCCTCCCTAGCTACGATACTCATTTCTCCGATTACACTTTTGGAGTCAGGTTTGTTTTCTTTTTTCTCTTTCTTATTTCAGCTTCTCAGTTTCTTTCCTCCTTCCTTTCATTCCTTTTCTCTGTTTTAACTCTTTATTATATTATACGTTGTCTGTACATTTCGACAGACTTTACAATATCTCAATTTTCTATCTAACTATTCTAATTGCAATATCTTAATTTTACTGTTTACTTGCATTTCTTATATAACTTCATATTCCTTTTTTCTGTTTTACATTTTATTCAAGATTACCATTTTAATACTTATGTCACCTTTTTTGATTATGTTTACTTTATCATTCCACACTTTGTAACGGTTATTATTATTTATCTCTTATTTCTTACTATTGTCATTATTCTACTCACTTCATTTTACTTTAATTTTTTTTACCTACATTATTCATGTTTCTCATACCTTGTTATCTGGTTCTTTTCTTAGCCCTGATAGAAGGCCTGAACTTCAGGTCGAAACGTCGCCAAATGTCAAAATAAATATTATCATTTATTTTTGCCTTCTTATTTGACTGATCACCCCAACTATTCTTCTCTTCATTATTCACGACAGTCAACCATTTACCCACAATTATCAGTTTTTATTGTAGTTGTAATAAATGAATAGTCCATTAATTAAATAATACATTTAATATTTTATTGTCTATTAAATAATAAAAACCAAAAAAAAAGTTATTATTTTAATTCCTTAAAAATTCAGTATAGATTCTATATTTATTTAACCATATTGTTTCTGGATTATTGTAAGTTCTATATTGTCAGTTGAATTTATAATATTTCTATTATAACCAGGTTCTGTAGAACTGTTGGATGTCCGTGACCAATTAAAGGGGTTGAAATCGAGGCCAGGCATCAAGAAATGGTATCCAGCTGCAAAAGACGTCACCTTCTTCGAAGACTATAGTCAAGTTGAAGAGAAGTGGCAGACCCAAGTGAGGCCGCATATGTTTCCTCAGATGTATGAGGGCGATAATTTTCCGCTTGAGAGGTGGTAAGTGAGGATCAAAACTTATAAATAGATTGAAATTAGGTTTATTTAAAGTAAATAATTTAATATAAAATAACAAACAAAAAATGAAAATAATACATATCAGGATGTCTACCACAAGACATCAAATACCTGAAATATAATTTTTTTTTTTTTAAATAAAATCTGAAAATTTAACATTTTGAAATTTGCTGTTATAATTGAGTACTTGCATGGAAAATAAATTATTTTTTTTTAAGGTATCTATTCTATCAATTTATAATTTTTTTTATTTCCATGTTTAGACTCGTGGACCATTTTTTCTCTGTGATGTTATCTATTTTATTTAAAGATAAAATGTTTTCAACATTTGTCTTTTTAATCTATAAGTAACATTTTGACAAAATTTTTAAACATAAAACTAAATATTTTAGTAGATGAAGTTGTCCAGTTTTCATAATCATATTGCAGTATAAAAAAAAGAAAAGGAATCAAATATGACTTCCTGATAAAATAATAGAGAATCTTTGTTTTTATGAATAATTATATGCTTGAATTTAAACAAAAATAAAATTTTATAAGTTCTTTCTTTATGTTTAATAGGTGACTGTGTAATTATATCAATAGTAAGAAAAAACACTCTTCTTTTTACAGTCTCATTTATTTATCTTTTGGAACATTTGGTGCTCTACACGATATTAATCTTTACAATGCTCGTTCCATCCATTTTTGGGTTTCGTTCTTTGAATAAATTTTATCAATCATTGTACATTAGTGTCTTAATTAACAAAAAATTTTGTTTGCGCACGACTGTAAACGAGAGCGTGGGGTACAATATGGGGTCCTCTCTCCTCCTATAACGGAAAAGCCCAAACAATTTTTTTTTGTAAATTAAGACACCAATCTACAATGCTTGATAAAATTTATTCAAAGAATGAGATTTAAAAATGGATGGAGTGAATATTGTAAAGATGAATATGGCTCCAAAACATAAATAAACGAGACTGTAAAAAGAATCCTGTTTTTTCTTACTTTCAAGTTCATTCTTTAAAATTAACATATACTGGATGGTTGTACTTCCTTAATCTTTTGTGTCCCTTTTTCTGATCTGTAAATGTATAGATGCTTTTTTGGGATCTTTTTTTTTTTTTTTTTTATTTACTATTTATATAAATATTATATTGTAAAAATGTTGGTAATTTTACTTAGTATATGTAAAAAGGATTAATATTATTTACCCATTTTCAGTATTCGAATCCTGCCTCAGGATCAAGATACTGGATGTTTTTTTGTTGCTGTTTTGAGAAAAATTAGTCATAAGAACAGTACAGAACCTGAAACGACTGAAGCTGGTGAAGTAGTTGAAAAAGTAGCAGTAGGTAAGAAAAAAGAGAAGAGGCGCAAAATTCAGGGATACAGAGAGGATCCTTACGTATTTTTTAAAGGAGATGAAGAACTTTGGAAAAATATTCAGTAAGTAATGAGACCCTTCTTCCCTAAGATTAATAAATGGTTTGAACTCATATTTAAAAAAGATCATCATCGCATACGGCACAACAATCACTGAACCAGGGTTTTCTCCAAAAGCCTCTGTCATTCTTTTTGAATTGAAAACTTCTTTTCTTTCTAACTTCGTTATGCACTTTTCTTGTGGAGAGTGAATTAGATCAAGTCGTCAGATTTTCGATTTGTAACGCTCTGTTGGAGTTAAGTGTTTTTGCATGTGGATTAAAGTATCTCAAAAACTGAAAATCAGACCAGCATACTGTAGCAAGGGAATCGTTCAGCATTTCATCCTCTCTGTAATGGGCTATTATTCATAATTGTATCTTAACATGACGCTGTGTTAGGGAGGCGAAAAGGAAAAAACAGTCAAATATGAACACTGGCAAATATGAATTTATATATCTCAAAAACTGAAAATCAGACCAGCATACTGTAAGCAAGGGAATCGTTCAGCATTTCATCCTCTCTGTAATGGGCTATTATTCATAATTGTATCTTAACGTAACACCGTGTTAGGGAGGTAAAGGAAAAAATATTGTTGAAAATCAATGATAACGAGCTTATAGATGATATGGATTGAAATATCTCAGAAACTAAAAATCGAAACTGCATACTGTAAGCGAGGGAAGTTTTCAGCATTTTATCCTCTTTATGATGAGCTATTATTTATGTTTTATATTATTAACCTCGCCTTGTTGATATTTTCACTTATATCGTGTGGTCTAAAGTACGCACCTTAGTTTTTTTTAATCTTGTGCTGCAGTCATTTAATAGTGGTTATATAGTAGATTTCTCGTCTCGGTGAGGACACCTTTTTTTTCCTCTTATCGTATAACCAACCAAAAATATGAAATCAATTTCAAACCCTCCCCTCTCCCCCTGACTGGATTCAAACCGCTAGACTCCAGAATGATCAAATGGGCAATGCTTTTATTATGCTTAGCCACTAAGGCCTCTTGTTATATGAATGATATTCATAGCCGATTTCCCTAAGAAATTTTCACAATATTCATTCTTGTAACACGCCTTAACCATTTGAGCCTTTCAACCTTCACTAATTTTCTAATATCCATGTGCTAGAATAGGTCATCTGAAATAGATATCTAATTAGACTGACTATTTTTTGTAGTATTTTTCTTTTAAATGTTATTAATCTGTTTGTTTTAGCTTTAGTCCACGCCTGAGCTTAATCTCACTTATACCTGATTGTAAATTAGCATACTTTATAAAAGTTTAATGAGCACCTAACTAGCCTAATATTTGAATTTTAAATTATCATTACAGATGTAGTTAATTTATTTAATAATTAGTAATAAGTGTTTTAATGAACTAATATTGTGGTTGTATTTTAGTAACCTGTTGTTTTTTTTCATGTATCTATTTTTCAAAAAACTTTATTGCATTAGGGAATTTTACAACATTGATGGATTTGATCCCACACTTTTACTCACTCGATCTAAAGATGGTAAGAAGAAAAATATCTATTACGTTTCGCCTGCGGTTAAAGAGATCGTTTCAGAAAATCAAGAAAGGATAAAGGTGATATTAATAATGCAATTTTACATTTAAATATATTATTAATTATTCAAATTTTGAATCTGTATCTTTATAAATATTTTTTTTTTAACAGATGATCAATACTGGTGTAAAAGTTTTTGCCCGATGTGATAATAAATCGATGGGCTGCAGCTTCAGATTGGTCCAGGAGGTAATTAGTTGTATATTTAATATTATATATTTATCAATGATAATGTATATATATATCAATGATTAAAAGCACAAACATAGTCTGTGAAAAAACATTTGTTTTCAGAATCAGCTTAAGAAGTTTGAAAGCTTAAACTTTGTTGCAGAAAATAATGTTATACTATAAAAGACTCACTCCACTTTGATGATTGGGCTAAGATCTCATGATCAACTGTAAATAGGATTTCGAGAATGGCCAAAGATTGATGTTTTCACAGTATAACCTTCTTTTAATTAGATCGCAGTTTACTACTTCCACTAACTTCCAATTGGTCCTAATTAGTAAAAATTGGGGTCTGATTAAATAAAAGCTTTAATTTCAGCTCGCTACGTTCAATCAAAAGGGACGAATAAACCTGCAACAACTAATAAATAGGTATTTTTCAGTTGAATTTGAGACTATCAGACAGTCAATCAATTTCGGACACACTCGTCCATTTTTGAAATCCCCTTTATAGATTGATAATGAGGTCTTGGCCCATTCATCAAATTGGATACTTTTATAGTATACCAAAGATAAAATGTGGTAAATCTAATTATTTCAATCTCTTGTTTAAAGTTTATTATTTTTATCTAGTTTTATAAATTTGTACTTAATCTATAAATGCGTACACACTAGGTGAATTCTTGTTCCTCAGCATATTTGCAAATAAAGATTCATCTAATGTGGACAAGAAGTGATATAGTTACAAGTGACACAATTTTTTTTTTTTTTTTTTTAATCCTACAAGATAGGCAGTGATGTAGGAGGGCGCTATATTTATTTATATTTCATTGTGGGTATTTTTATATGTTTCAGCATAGGTTTGTATACTAATTTTAATTTTTATATTACTGTAATTCATATTATTAAATATTAGCCAGCATTAATGAAAATTGGACTCATATATAATATTATCGGTTCCAGAATGTTTTTGTTTTTTTAACTTGGCTTAGAACACCGCAACCTTTTTTTTTTTTTTTGTTCTTCCCTACCTCGCCTTTTAGGCTATACGGGATTTTCCCGGGCCGGGGAATTTAAAATCCCTTCCAGCACCGGGACGCGAACTCGTACTTTTTATATCATCTCAAATCTCTGTTATCCGGTTGCCAGGCAACTAGCGGTGTAAATGAAATATTATGAGAAGGAGTTAGTCGGGGGTGCGGTCATATAAATACTAAATTAAAATATAGTAATTATTTTATTTTAATTTTGCCGACGTTTCGACCCACTTTGCAGGTCGTCTTCAAAAGATACAAAACATGTTGAGAATGTATCTTATGTATGTTTGTATCTTTTGTAGCCCTGAAGACGACCTGCAAAGTGGGTCGAAATGTCGGCAAAATTAAAATAAAATAATTACTATATTTTAATTTAGTATGTATATGACCGCACCCCCAACTAACTCCTTCTCATATTATATCAACGGTCAACCATCTCTACATCATTATAAATGAAATATTGTTTATTGAAGGAAGCTAGTCGACTGTTCTACATATCATGGGTGATGTGTTATTATTCTTAGGGGACTATAGTTCCAGAATAAAATTATTTTTTCATTTCATTAGTAAGGTTTTAAGTTTCGAAATTTAGTCATCACTTCTCAATCAAATTTCCTAACATTTGATACCTCGTTCATAAAAATCTATCGCTCCTGAGAGTCAGGAATAGGATATATGCTACTGTATTATATATAATATATGATAGATAATAACGTTTAAAAAACATAAAATTCCATTATCTTTCATATAGAAATAATAATAAATTACATTTTCAGGGTTTGTACACAATTCAGAAACATATCAAACCTGGAAGGAGGATCAAGATTTGTAAAGAAGATTTTATTCAACTTCTGCAACATGCTGAACCAAAGGATGCTGTAGATTTCGAAAATTTAACTCAAGAAACGAGAGATCAAGCGCAAAACATAAGTAAGATTAAATATATTATATACAGGGTGGCGACCTACCTGGAAAATGGGAAAAGTCGGGGAATGTTCAAAACAGGGGAATATTCAATATACAAAAGGGGAAAAATCTGGCGGTTGAGCGTGATCTCAGTCAGATCACCTCCTTGCAGAACCGTTGACCAAGAAACAGTACTTCATTAGAAAGTACTGAACCCAAGACCCTTCATGGGTTGTAGTGGTACAGGTTTTATATATATATATATATATATATATAAAAGTAGTGAGAAAGCTGCATTTATTGACTTGATATAAGATTTTTTATAACTATTAGAATTGTTATTTTCAGGCCAGGGCAGTTGCGTAATTGATTACGAAGACAGCAGTGATGGTCTGACATTGAATATCGTCGGCTGGAGAGGAAATAAAACATTGAGGGTTTACATAACTCTACAGGAGGCAGTGCACTTCCTCCGGCTTCTCGGCGCTCCCGTTCAAAAATATGGTATGTTCTAAAATATTTAACATGTCTAAGTTTAAATCAATTCAATTATTAACGAGTGATTGATTTAGAATTGATTATTATTTAACAATATCTACTGTCTATGAGATATATTTTTCATTACACAGCGGCGGGTCCCTCATTAACCGAATTTTCTTCTGAAATGAACAAGTTTGATTTATCCAGTTTCCTATAAGTTTTTCTAAACATGGCAGTTTCAATAATCCGAACAAGAAAGAAAAGAAGGTTAATGTTGGCTGATGAGAGATGGAATGGTAATGGCTCTGTTTCTCAGTACATATTACTTTCTGGATCTGGAAAACGCATTTGACAGAGTCAAAAAGGAGGACATTGAGTGAGCTCTGTCTGAAATGCAAGTTGATATTGGCACGATCCTGGCTTTTGGGAGTCTCTATCGAAAGACTAGAAATATTGTAAGGACTGGCAACCACACCTCCAAGGAGTTTGAGATGACACATGGATGCAGCCTAAATCCCCTACTTTCTGTATTAGTTTTGGATCAGGTGCTACACCCAGAATGCTGCAATTGCAGTACTTTTTATGAAATTCTCGCTTTTGCAGATGAACTTGTCATATTCACTAAGGACAACAAGGACCTACAATATAATATAAATATCATGCAAGAGGAGCTGTCCAGCATCAACATGGATATTAATTCAGAGAAAACAAAATGCATGAGAATATTGAGATTGTAGGAACATACTTCGGAACAGGTACAGTAAATATCTAGATGCCTGAATCAACAAAAGCTGTTATTGAAGAATGTTCTACTAAATCCAGAAAGGTTTTCTCAACAGAAGAGAGTGACGAAGAAAACAAAGTTATCCTTCGACAGATCAACGTTCTTGCCCATCCTTTCTTACTCCTCAGAATCATGGACTCTTACAGCATCTCAAGTTCAAACCTTGGTTTGGTTTGGTTGGATGGTTGAGCATGAACTCGGTCACCTCCTTGCACAACCGTTGACCAACAAACAGTACTTCCATACAAAGTACTGAATCCAAGTCCCTTCGTGGGGTATTTACAGGTTTTTTTTAAGTGAAATTAGGGAGTGGGCTAGTGCCTTTGCAAAAAACACTTTGCCTGGAGCCACATGTGATTACGAGTTTGGGATCCTTTAACTCATCCAGGAAAAATCCTATATAGCCAAAAAGGTGAAGAAGGGGAGAGTAAAAAAGTGTGGCCTAGGAGATTATCTAGATCCCAGGATCAATCCACGGCTCTAGTCCATAAATAATTAAGTGCAACAACCAGACTCTTAGGAGCTTGGAAACCCAATGCCTTACTGTCTAAACTACCCCGCTCCTTGTTTAAGTTTAATAAGATCTTATTTATTTCTAACAATCAGGGTTTCTCAACAACATAGGGTTGGTTTATCCCTTATACAATATAAAATTTATGAATAAACTTGAAGGTAATAAAGATTCAACATTAAAATTTTCAAAAAGGAGAAGTACAAAAAAAAGTTTATGATGATGTAGAGATGGTTGACCGTGATATAATATGAGAAGGAGTTGTTGATCTGGGGGTGCGGTTAAATAAATACTAAATTATAGAAATAGTATTATTAAATTTTAATGATACTAATTTAATAACATTATACTAATTTAATAATACTATTTCTATAATTTAGTATTTATTTGACCGCACCCCCGGATTAATTCCTTCTCAAAGAAAAGTTTAATTTTGTTAAATAGTTGTTTTGAAGATTTTTTTTTTTGAAGAAATGAAAACAATTTTTTTGACATCTTTGTTTTGTTTTTTAAAATTTCACTAAAATTGTTCTCAAACTCTACTTCATTCTGATGTGTTTCGTAGGTAAAACACTCAGTCAAGATATGCCTCACTGTAAAATTGACCTCGTAGCAGAGACATTGAGGGTGTATCCACTTTTTAATTTGGCGTTCATGTGTTAGCTGTGAGTGTCCGATCTCACCGTTAATCCGATAAACCTGTTAAAAACTAGAGCAATATTTTTTTTTATTACATATTTTTCATTAATTTCAATAATTTCTCTTGTTGATTTATTTTCTATTGTATACTAATATATGAAGCATTTTAGTTATAATTTGTATAAAATGGTAAGGTATAATCCAAATTTTATTGATTTGAAACAGAATAGAGGGGTCTACAGTTAGTAAATAAAAAAATTGAAATTATTATTTATTCATTTTTTTTTTTCTTCTCAGTGTATTATTATGATTTAGGTTTTATTTATTAAAAGTTCATATTCTTGTTTATCTGTCATCACTCCACTCCACATAGAGTTTGTATTTTTTTTTTCTATTTTTGCGTCCAAAAATTTGGCCTAACCTGTGTATAAAAATAAATAAACCTTTGTAATAAATAAATAAATCACTAAAACTTAATTGATAAAGCCGTATTATCCTTGTTTACAGTTTTATTGTTAGGTGATAGTTGGAATAATGGCTGAAATATTACAGGCCATCTGACACTATATAACTAAAAGAACAGCTGATAAAATAATTATTTCAACGAATCTGAATCTTGAAACTTCATTTCAGTAATTAATCTAGTATAAACTAAATTATTAAAAATAAATCTAAATGCTAAATTATAATTTAATTATGCAACAATGGCATTGAATAGTAGACGAAAAAGGTCTTCCTTGACATAAAAAAAGCTTTTGATAGGATCTGGCACAAGGGTCTGATATTGAAACTAAAACCGCACTTACCTTCAACTTATTTTCTAATTTTTCAATCCTTCTTTCTTAACACATTTTTCTGTGTATTCGTAGATTCTTCTGATTCCTCTTTCTTACCTCAACAAAGTTAGCTTCTTGTATACTAATATATGAAGCATTTTATTGTATACTAATATATGAAGCATTTTAGTTATAATTTGTATAAAATGGTAAGGTATAATCCAAATTTTATTGATTTGAAACAGAGTAGAGGGGTCTACAGTTAGTAAATAAAAAAATTGAAATTATTATTTCAATCCTCAATCCTCTATTCTCCATATACCTCTGCTGGAGAATATACAGACAGAGCACCCTAGCACCACCATCAATTGCTTCGCTGACGACACTGCAATTCTTTTTTCCACAAAAATCCTACTATCGCATCAATGGCCCTTCAAAACAACCTCTGTGATCTTGAAAAGTGATTAAAAAAATGAAAAATTAAAATAAATAGTAGCAAATCTCCACTCATGACTATTGGCAATGATCCAGTGCCTTTAAAGAACTATGTATGGTACCTCAGACAGTATACAAAAGACTTACTTAGAACATTCATATAAAATTAAAAAGATGTGAACTGACTTGAAGACATAACCAACTCTCACATTTTCTGGACTACAGATCCTTACTTAATTTACAAAACAAGCAACTGATCTACAACACCATACTGAGACAAATTTGGACATATGGAGCAGAACTTTGGGGTTCGGCAAAACAAACACACATAAACAAAATTCAAACAACACTAATAAAAATTGTTAACGCATCTTGGTATATTCCAAATAACTCTATACAGGACTTTAACACCCCAATAGCAAAGTCCTACATCTACGACAAATACACTACATTTCATCCTACAACTCAAAATCATGTCAATCCACTAGTTCTTTTTATTTACTGCTCCCTGTACCTGATCGACACAGATTACTAAGGAAATGGCCTAGAGACCTATTCCTTCAATAATAACAAAATAAAAGCAAATTCACAGCAAATAATCAATATATCAAATTTGCTAGATGCGCTGCCGTGCGGGTGTAAATGGCATAGAATATTAAAATGAAATACTAAATTGCCCACACCTCAAAATGAAGATAAATACCTGCAACAAGGGACTGAAAATATTATACTCTCTTTTTTCCAAATCAGGCAAAAGCTAAATACTTATATATGCCTACTTAAACCCATTTGGACAAATACCTCGCAGATTTACAATTCAGAAAAAAAAGACTCACTAACAAAAACTACAATCTTTTCAGTCCAAAATGTTAAAACTAATAACAGCAGTGCCCAGGCACATCAACAAAAAATTCTTTACAAACCAATAGACTTATAAATAATATGACGGCCACGGTTGACACGCCCATGATTGAAAAGGAGCTGGATGAGAGATTTCCTTTCCTGATTTGAAAGGAAGTAAACAAAGACTAGGAAGAGGTGCTGTTGGGTACTATCCTTCCTCATGACTATAATACCATTGTTATCTACTAAAACAAATCTGCTGATTCTCACTTTCATAATTGGTGCGGATAAAGGTCTAAAGAGAAAGGGCAAAAAAAAAATACGAAATTAAAGAAATTTATAATAAATGCTAAAAAAAAAAAGTTATATGGGTCATTTTAAAAATAAATTTACCAACTGTGTATTTAATAGTAGTTTATCAGTTTAAAATTGAATGTGAAAAATTAAACTTCTAACTACTGCAATGTCTTCCAATAACATCTTAAGCATCGATTATAAGGGGTACTCCAGAATTTTTTCTATTTTCAATCGATATAAATATTTCTTTTATTTTACTGACTTTCTGATGTTCATGAGTTGTAGTAGAGATTGTGAAATTTTTCACAATCTATATTAATGCAAAAACAACAGACGAAACTGCAGGTACCAACCCTTAATTTAAAAACTTGACTAGGAATCACACAGCATAATATTTTATTTAAAAAACACTGTGGCATCCATGATAGATAAATAAAATACTTGTTAATGTGTTTAGAGATTTCATAAACTATGGCAAACGCAAATATTTAAATAGGGTTTTTTCTATGCCAGTGTTTTTATTTTCCTACCTATACTAGGTAAGGAAAGTGTTGCGATCAGGTCAAATTTTCGATATGCGGTTTTCGACGGATCTATACGTTTCAGAGCACCCTGAGTCTGAAAAACATGTTTTTAGCCATTGGTCTGTCTGTCTGTCTGTGCCAAGATTTTCTTGGGAACTAGTGAACCGATTTTGTTGCTTCTCTTTTTATTTTGTAAGGTTTTGACTACTGATGCCTGTGACAGAAATCGGGTAGTCCCTGCGTAATAAGTGAAATATATATTTTTCTATAGACTGTAGAGCAAAAATTGCTCTAACGATTTTGAGGAAACTTTCCTATAATTTTCTAATAATTGTCTTTTCAATTTTCGTACATGTACTAAATTCTCGAGAAAATTCAGGCGAAAAAGAAAAATGTTTTGGGGCCTAACTCGCTAAGTATATATTTTATGATAAAACTTTTGAAAGGTAATTAAATTACCAACAAAATAAAAAAATCATCAGAATCAAACAAGTATTAGCGATGATACAGCGTATTCTATTTTTTACACATATTTTAATTTACTACTTTCCTACCTATACTAGGTAAGGATCGGGTCAAATTTCCGAAATGCGGTTTCAAGAGATCTATACGTTTCAGAGCCCCTGAGTCCGAAAAATACGAAATTCTCTACAAAACCATATAAAAGTCATTCATCGGACAACCATTAACAAAGTTACAGCTATTCAATTTCTTATGTAAGATTATGAGTTCAAATCCTGGTGCTAGAAAGGGAAGAGAGAAAAAAGAAAACTAAGTGAAAGTAAGAAAACCTGTTGCCCACATCACACAAGCTTCACTATTTCCTCTACTTTTATCAGAAATTATTGTGACAAAATTAGTCTATGCCATTAAGTTTTTGATTAGTATTAGAGGGTATTGAAATTTTTACACTGATCTACCACAAGCCTGTTTACATTGCTTTAAGAAATCATACTCAAATCGTTTCTTAGATCAATTTTCAGGAAAATAAATCTAATTTAATTTTGTTTGTTTCTTAAAGGACATATTAAAGATATAAAAACTTTTCTGAAATAGGGTAGGAAAGTAATGTGAGTGGGCATACCAGATTTTTTATGTTTTCTGTCTGCTGTCGTTAACAAGAGAAATAAAAAAAAGTTTGGCTTAACACTAATGTTGCTATTAGTTAAGTTAGATAGTTGTGTTTTCCCATAGTTTGTGAAATGTCTAAACGCACCTCTATATTTTTGTGATGTTTCAAAAATCGCATCATTCAAACATTCAGTTTGCAAGTCGAATACCAATTTGAGATGGACATTTCATCCTTGTTTTAAAAATATAAATTCTTTCTGCCTTTCCAAATTGAAGGAATATTGTGATAAAAACCGTTCATGATGTTATTAATATCTATGTATTGGTTGACATGTCTCATGTTAGTATTGTTTAGTCTAGCGTAAATAACATTTTAATCTAGATTTATATCCATTGAATAAATCATTCCATGAATTTTATTTTCAGAAGTGAACAAGTTCAAGAAGGAAGAGAAAGGAGAAGCAGAAGAAATTCCTGGTTGACGCTGAGAAGATTTGACACCTACGAGGATGTTTATTTTATTGTTTTTAGATGTATATACATGATAAATTACAATAATTCGAAGTATATGCATTTATTTTTAAGCAAAGTGTATTATATCATCTTCCCTTATCCTATACAGATCTTAATAGGCTGTATAAAAAAAAATGATCGTTTTGTCAGAATCCCAAGAACTGTTGTAAACATGTTAATTCTATTTATTGTTTGCTAACAATGTATTATCTCTTTAGAAAAGTAATCTAAGCTTGTTCTTGTGATATCAAAAAAACTGAAGAGGTGTCCTTGACGTTAATGATGATTGGTCTTTGGAAAGGAAGAAAAGCTCAAAGAGACTCAAGATTGATGAGGTTCTTCAAATCAATCCATCCTTAAGTACTCGTGATCTTGCCAAGGAGTGTGGAGTGTCAAAAGACCCAATGTGTCGCCATCTATAGGTCGACCTCTAAGGAGTTCTGTTCCAGTGATTTTGGTTCACGGAAAAAGGATTATAATGGACATTTTTTCTTGAGATACAAGTAATTTTTGGGTTTCAATCATACGTAAATAGGTATTCATGAACATTTTTAAAACCTATCCAAATTTCTTAATAGTTCAAAATTATCTCCTGGGTTGTTTTAGATGATGAAAACTTTGTCCAATTTGCAGAGATATTAAATGAAGAAACTGGAATAAGAACGTCAACGGATGAATTAGCTATCCATTATGGGAAGACAAAGGTAATAGCTATGAATAATAATAATGTTTGTAAAGAAAAAAAATTATGCGACCCATATTTATTAATAATCTAGGAGAAAAAAATACAATTTGAATTGTAAATGATAAATAGAAATTTAAATGAAATCAATACCCCGAAGGCAGTCTCCCGGCATTCTTGTAAGGAATACAATTTAACACATTTCATGAAGTCGAAACACTGGTTCAGGAAGTGGATATCGCTGATGCATTTGGCTTCTACGAGTTCAGAAAAAGATTAGTACCAACAGGAGACCTGTTAGTAAATCTCAGCACATTAATGCAGCAAGGGATGACAGAAATATTGGTATTAGTACAAGATGGAACATTTTTAATAGTGCCTGACAGATACTTAATGAAGTGTTGAATGTAAGGCCCATACCAACTTAAACTATTTATGACACATGTGGGATGCACGGCAGAGCTTTTTGAGTCTCAAAGGGCTTTTCGACCACCATTTTCAGCTTCTTAACCTTCAGCAACTGAGAGCAGTACTACCATGTTTATGGTATGAAATTTCTTGTGAAATCAGTGACAACTTTATAAACAGTATGATCAATAGGTGCAGAGGTAGTGTGTGGCAGAGGATTATAAACAAATTATTACATTTTAAAAAATATTTACAATTTGCAATCATAAAAACATCACATAAACCTTTAATTTTATTATTTTTTTCCTTTCACTTACCTATATAGTAAGGGACAGTATTGCGATTGTGAAAATTTATGAGTTTTCAAAGGAAATCCACGTTTTGAGGTTGCCTGAGTCTAAATAACCAAGTCTCACAAAATGGTCTGTGAGTGTGTTAACAGTCTTGCTCAAAAACGAAAAGTCGTACGGAAGTGAAAATGCATATTTAAGGTTTTTATATACCTGAGTTGTTACAGCAACTTTTTCGTCAAAATAAGCTTACCGGAAGTGATACTTTATTTTATCGACAAAATAATTTTTACTATTTTCTCGAAAACGGCTCCAACGATTTTGATTAAATTCATTATATCAGTGTAAAGCATTAAGCAGTTTTTAATATCATGCAGGTTTTATTCTCACTGATGTTCTCTAACAGGGTTTAAATGGCTAATTTTCAATATTAGCTTCCTCTGAAGTGTACCTTAAATTTTTTTTATTTGAAACAATTGACCATTTCACATTAATTCCTAATATGAAAAATGGTTAAATATGAAAGAATTTGATAAATAACTAAAGAAGAAATAAGAGATAGTAACGGAAAATAGTTGTAATTGAGAAACCAAAGGAATTGTTTCAAGTAAAAAAATTAAAGATACTTTAGAGGAATCTAATATTGAAAATTAGCCATTTAAGCCCTGTTAGAGAATATCAATCAGAATAAAAACTGCTTAATGCTTTACACTGATATAATGAATTTAATCAAAATCGTTGGAGCCGTTTTCGAGAAAATAATAAAAATGTGTTTTGTCGATGATATAAAGTGCCACTTACAGTAAGCCGATTTTCACGAAAAAGTTGCTGTAACATCTCAGGTATATACTAAACTTAAATAAAATATGCAATTTCGCTTTCATACGAATTTTCATTTTTGAACTAGACCTGTCACATACATACAGACACATGCACACACATACCATTTTGCTAGACTTGGTTAATTTAACTCAAGATACCCCAAAACATATATTTCCGTCCCTTACTATATATTTCATATACAGTTAAGTGAAAGTAAAAAACATATATACATTTTTGGTTGAAAAGGTCTTTTTTTTATAGAGCCTATTAATTAAAATTAATTGTGAAACGATTTAAATAAAGGGTTATTTACACTTGTCACTTGTGATGATCATCTTGGAAGATTCATTTAATGTAATGTGTAGATTGGCTTTCATCCTAAGTCTATATTGAGCAAAAATAAAGAGGGATATTGTTGGTTATCTATTATTTAAGTTCCCTAGAATTTTTATTATAAAATACATTGAAAATTAATACAAAGATTGTATTTGACGTCCGGAAATTTTATAAAAGATGTTTTAAAAAAATTAATGGAAGTAAAGTTTTATATGACGTTTTTATGATTGTGAATTGTTAACATTTCGTAAAATTTAATAATTTGTGTAATATATTCTGCTTACTATTGTATTACTCAGTTGCTGAACATTGAGAAGCTGCAAATGGTAAAAAAAAAAACTTTTTCTGCAGTTCATCCCACATCTCACATGTGCTCAATGGGATTGAGATGACAATATCCCGGACAGATGTGAAATGTCCAGATATTCAAGACACTGACGAACAACTTTGCTCCTATAAGGTCGTTTATTGTCATCAAGAAAATGAAAATTTGTGCCAATTATAGCCCTCATTTGAACAATGTATTCCTCGTTAATTTCTTGAACATAATGGGATTACCTTCCACGATATGGTGTAGAGGCCATCTTTTTGAGTCTATTCAGTCTCATACTTCTGTGAACATAAAAGCATTCCAATTTGTATCCTCATCTAGGCACTCGCTACACCATAATCTGAGGAGTTGCCAGTGAAAATGTGTCAAAGCAGTGATATAAATGCCACTAACGGTTTGCCGATTTTGATGAAAAAGTTGCTAACATTTCAGCCTTATACAAACCTTAAATACACAATTTCAGTTTCATTTTGAGTTAGGCTTTTTACAGATATCCAAAATATTTACCAACAAATATGTTGAAAAAAAATTTAATATTATAAAAGAAGAGAAGAATGATTGGGGTGATCAGTAAAAAAAAATAGTAAGATTAAATAATTATATTTATTTTTAATAATTGGTAATTGGTTGACTGTCGTGGATAATGAAGACTTAATTAAGTTGATAATTAAGTGGATAAGTAAGTAAGACTTACTTAAGTGGATAATGAAGACTTACTTATATTTCTCATACCTTGTTATCTGGTTATTTTCTTAGGCCTGATGAAGGCCTGAACTTCAGGTCGAAACGTCGGCATATGTAAAAATAAATATTATCATTTATTTTTGCTTTCCTTTTTGACTGACCACACCAACTATTCTTCTCTTCATTATATTTATTTTTACTTTTGCTGTCATTTTGGCCCAAAGTTCAGGGCTAAGAAAAAAACAGATAACAATAGGTATGAGATACTATAAACATTGAATAATAAAGAATTAAAATTAAAAAGGTGAAAGGTATAGACTAAAAAATGTAGTTAGAATAAATTTAAAGTAGGTAGAATAATAACAGTAACAGAGAACTAAGAAATAAAAAATAATGACAACAAAGTAGTAGGGAATAATGAAATAAACATAATCAAAATAAGGTAACAGAAAGTAGTGGAGTGTAGGAGATGAAAAACAAAGTTTATTCTACCTACATTTTTTAATCTATACCTTTCACTTTTTTTGAATTATTGAAGGAAGCTAGTTGACTGTTCTACATATCATGGGTGATAAATATTCAGGATGCAGTCTTTTTAAAAAAAAGAAATTTAATTTTTTATTTGTGCCAACATTTTAACCCAAACATGTGGGTCATCTTCAGGGCGTGGTTTGAGCACTGAGGGTGTTCAAGTACTTTTCAGTGATTGTGTTCAGTACTACTTGAACACCCTCAGTGCTCAAACCACGCCCTAAAGATGACCCACATGGGTTGAAACGGCACAAATAATAAAATAAAAATAATTTTTTAAAAAAAAAGACTGCGGCCTGAATATTTATCACCCATTTCACTTCTTTTTTTTTTTTTTAATTTTTCATTATTCAATGCTTACAATATCTCATACATATTGAGAAAGGTAAGCCTGTACTAACACGAGGCGAGGATTGGGAAAAGTCGGCATCGAGAAACTTCAAAATTAAGAGCACACAGTAGTACCCTTGGTCCTATCCTTTACACAGTTTATACAGCTGATATCCCAACCCATCCTAACACTGTTATCACTACGTATGCTGATGACACATGTATCCTGTCAGTTAATAATGATCCAACAATTGCATCCTAAACTCTTCAATCACACATCACAAACCTTGAAGAATGGGGTCAAAACTGCAGAATTAAAATAAATCCCATCAAATCACCTTTACCCTTTGTCGTAAACCAATGATTTCCTGTCCTATAGTATCCTTTAATAACACCTCACTTATCCCTGTAGAACAAATCCGATACCTAGGACTCCAGCTGGACAAACGTCTCACTTGGAATCCTCATACAAGACTGAAACGACAAGAAACTGCTCGACGTTTCCGCTTACTCCAACACTTACTGGACAAACGCTCTAAACTTCCAATTAATTACAAACGACTCATATACATGACTATAATAAGACTATTGGACTTATGGAGTTGAGCTATGGGGCTCCACTAAACCATCAAATTCCTCTCGTATCCAATCTTTACAATCCAAAATCCTTCGTAAAATCCTCAATGCTCCTTACTTTGTCACAAATAAAATAATCCATAAAGACCTCAATGTTCCATATGTTTCCGATTTGGCCAAATCCAGATACCTATCCTTCCATAATAAACTTCATAACCATCCGAATCCTCTTGTTTCTAACCTTGCTTCCTCTTCGATTCCTGATAACCCTCCGAGGCGTCTGAAAAGAAGATGGCCTCGTGATCTCCTCATGTAGACAAATTATTAGAGTGCTACCAATGGGTAGTTTCTCAACAAGCGTGTTTCATGTGATTATATTCCTCTGTACACATTTACTTGATGTATTCATACTAATACAGTTGTAAATATCATAATAAAAGTTTTAAAAAAAAAAAAATAAAAAGAGCACAAGTTTCACCACAGACATCTTGGCACATAGAAAGCACCTGGAGGAAGTGTGAACCAAACTGTGACAGTGATCACTTTCTAGTGAGAGCACTGATTAGGCACAAGATTGCAAATGCTAAAAAAGGTCACAGAGTAGAAAGGAAAAAATGGAATGTGGAAAAACCCAGGTTGGACAGAGAAGGTGACAGATAAACTGCAACAATGTGATGTTAAGGATCACATTGAAAATGAGTGGTCTGCTATAAGAGAAATATTGCAAGGGGCAGCAGAACAAGTTTTGGGAGAGAAAAGTGATCAGGTGAATTCAGAATGGTTCGATGATGAATGAGCAAATGCAATTGAACAAAAGAATACCGATAGGATGAAGAAGCTTCGGCGGGATACCAGGAATAACAGAGGTAAATATAAGGTTAGTAAGAAAAAAGCTATCAAGATCTGTAGAAAGAAAAAGTGGGAATGACTAAGAGAAAGGATTGAAACTATGGAAGAAATGCGGGAAAATAGGGAGAAAAGAAAATTTTGTCAGGAAAATGGGAAACGGTTTTAGGCTCAAAATGAATGTTTGTCGTAGTAAGGACGGCGTACTGTTGGAGGAGAGTACAAGTGATGAATAGATGGTCAGAGTATTTAAGAGAGACACTAAATGACAGTGAAAATGAAAATGAGAACATCGATGATGCCTGTGAGCCTGATTAAGAAAAAACTGAGGTCCTGAAGAGGACAGTATATCGGCATAAAGTATTAAGTGTAGTGGAGATTTTTTCCGACAGATTATATAATCTGATGCTGAGAGTATGGTTTGATGAGGAAATACCTAAGGTACGGTGGTCAGGTTTAATTTTCCCAATATTCAAAAAGGGTGACAAAATGGTATGTGAAAATTACCGGGGAATAACCCTTTTAAAGGTCATATAAAATTTTAACTAACCTTCTGGTGTAAAAACTAAAATTTATTCAGAAAGAATCATAATGGATTACCAATGTGGTTTTCAGCTTAATAGAGGTACTTCTGATGAGATTTTAATTTATGACAAGTGCTCGAAAAGAGGCATCCCGTATAGCCTGAAAGGCGAGGTAGGGAAGAACAAAAAAAAAAAAAAAAATTGATGTGCATATACTATTTATAGATTTTAAACCAGCCTTTGACCGAATTAAAAGAACCCAACTTTTTAGTGCATTACATGAATATAACATCCCATTTAAACTAATCCACCTTATTGAAATGACTATGCTGAACACACAAGCTAAAGTACTAATTGGTTAGCTAAATCTTCTAATTTAACTCTGAAGTAAGGCAGGAAGACGCACTATCAGCAGTTCTACTTTACTTGGCGCTACATAATGCAGTTAAAGAGATCACACATCATGCCGAACTAGACAAATATTGGGATGTGCTGATGATATTGCAATTATACGTATAAGCAAAGCAGCAATAGTTGAGATTATATCGACGTTGATTGTAAAATGTAAGAAGGTCGGATTGATAGTTAACGACACAAAAATAAAGTATAGGGTGGTGGTCTCGACCTCATATTCAAGAAGGAAGCCAGAAGGTTTTGTTTACCAGGAATACATTTTTGAAGCAGTGGAGAGTTTCATGTATCTTGGGGCGCAAGTAAATAGCGAAAAGTTGATAGGCCCGGAAATAAGAGGAAGAATCATAACACGCAATAAAGAGTACTTTGGTATGCTGAGACTTTTAAATACTTATAAATCGACACTCCTATCCAAAACTCAAAGTGTACAAATCCTTGGTCTGACCAGTTGTATGTTACGGAGCCGAAGACTGGACGCTGAAAGTAGCTGACCAGAGGGCACTAAGGATTTTCGAAAGAAAAATTACGAGATCAATATTTGGTCCCCTACGCATGCAAAGAGAATGGAGGATGAGGACAAATCAGGAGCTGGATGAACTATTGAAGCACGAAGATATTGTACATTTAATTAAGGCTAGAAGAATTAGCTGGCTGGGACACGTGGAAAGAATGCCTGAAGACGTAGCAACGAAAAAGATACTTAGGGAGAAACCCAGAAAAAGGAAAAGAGAACAACCGAGGAAATGTTGGAAAGGTAACGTGGAGAATTCAAGGAGGACGGGAGTGGTGAATTAGAGGGGAAGAATGAAGAATAGAGAGGATTAGAAAAATATCATCAAGGAGGCCAAGGTCCACCTCTCGGACTATAGAGCCAGTCAGTAAGTAACCCTTATTTTTTATTTAATATTTTTTTTATTTATTTAATTATCAAACTCATTGATAGTTTATATTTAAAAAATTATATTACTAGTTATAACGTGAAATGGTTAATTATTTTAAATAAAATAAATTAAAGCTATTTTAGCAAAAGAAATTTTGAAATTTTGGCATTTAAGTCTCATCGCTTTATCTCCATTAAGATAACACTTACCTGATTAAAGAATCAGTAGATTTTACATTGATATAACAATGTCAATCAAAATCACAGCAAGTGTATAATATAAAGTGCCATTAACGGTTAGTCTATTTCAGCACTAACGGTTTCATATCGATTATTATATATTTCTTCAGGATTGTTTAGAGAATTAAATGAAGCAAAATAACAAAACTTAAGTGCCAAGAGGAGAAGGGGCACAGCTGAATGTTCACTAATATCTCAATGAGCATATTAAAGGGTCTATTTATTAATTAAGTAGGAAAAAACTGGTAGTCATATAATTATAAAAGGAGAAATTAATTAAAATCTTTAACTGTGATAGTGTTTTATTGTTTATACAAAAAATATATACATATAGAGGATGCAATAAGTATCCTGCAATAATGAGCAATAAGCTCATTGATTGAACTAATCAATCACGTTTTTTCTGTCCATCATGGCAAAATTGGAATTCAATTTTGCCATGAGAAACATCTTTAAAATTTCATGTACATTCGATGTTGTCAAAATTAGACACTCGTTTTAGGGTATGATGGAACAATGTGATGGGCCATTATATGCCTTTTCAATTGCTGAAATGTAACAGATTTATAATCGCAATGGGGACAGTTATATGGCTTCTCACCTGTGTGACGGGCCATTATATGTCTCCTCAAATCATTAGGCGTAACAAATTTAAAATCGCACTGAGAACAATGATAAGGCTTCTCACCTGTGTGACGGGCCATTATATGTCTTTTCAAATCATTAGGTTTAACAGATCTATAATCACAGAGAGAACAGTGATATGGCTTCTCACCTGTGTGACGAGCCATTATATGTATTTTCAGTTGACGACTTGTAACACATTTATATTCACATTCAGGACATTGATGAGGTTTCTCATCTGTGTGACGGGCCATTATATGTCCCGTCAGCTGACGACGTGTAACACATTTATAGTCACATTGGGGACATTGATGAGGCTTCTCACCAGTGTGACGGGCCATTGTATGTTTCTTCAAATCGTTATGTGTAACAGATTTATAATCACACTGAGAACAATGATAAGGCTTCTCACCTGTGTGACGGGCCATTATATGCCCTTTCAAATCATTAGGTGTAACAGATTTAAAGTCACAGTGGGGACATTGGTGAGGCTTCTCACCTGTATGACGAAACATTATATGTCTTTTCAAATTTCGAGATGTAGCAAATTTACGTTCACACTGAGAACAGTAATGGGATTCCTCATCTTTATGGCCACTGTCATTGGCACCTGTAAGCAATAAATTATCATACTCAATAATAAAATAAAACTATGTATTTGAAGTAATGTAAGGGTAGCAACACCAGTGATGGGCAGCAAGCAAAGAATTCTTTGTCTTTTTTGCCAATGTATTTATGAACATCTCTATTAGATAATTAAGATCCCCTTAACTTATTTGATACTTTACAATTGAAGTATCAATTGTACTTCTAATATCCATAGTATCCTTCTAATATCAATACTAAATATCCAGTTTAGTAGCTTTAATTTCCATTTAAACCACTTTTTACACTACTAATGGACACTCCAAAATTCTAATTATATAGTAATTGAAAGGTGTATATACTAATAATAAATACACCACAGAAACTGTTTTAAAAAATTATTAATCTTTTAAGAAACATTTTAAAAACACCATTTTAACCAATTATTATTTTTTTAGAATAAGTTTAATGTTTTTAAACTATCATGAAAAAAAATAAAATAAATTCTTGAAATACTTACGCAAGTATTGACACCAATAACGATTTTCTTCATACTCATAAATATTGTAACGACTAAAAATACGTTATCAACAGTGATCAGTACTGTTGGATATACAGAGTAACGATAATTTCTCAACTATTTTAAACAAATACATTCTTCAGTCAATTGCACGGATTCTATTAAATAAAAAACAATACCTTTATCATTCAATTTTCAATGACCCTATATCCAAGTTTTGAGTTCTTTCTTGTTGAAAATCCATGAATGCATTAAGGTGGTATGATGACTTCTTCCTTAGTAAGTTTTCATCCATCATCTTGCTTGCTTTGAAAAGTGGGGAAATAGCAATGGACAGGTTGAGCATCTGTCCAAACAGATAAAGCCCAGGTGGTATTGCATGTTATGGTATCCTTTTATATAAATTTTTTCCAGAAAATCTCTAAAGGTCTCCAATGCTACTCCTAGAAACACATCCCCAAACCATTAAGGGTCCACTTCGATGTTTTATTCTTGGTTGCAAAGATTCATCCAAAAATCCTTTCAGGACTTCTAACATACTGCTTCTTTCATACTGTTCTCAACTACTCTGTCTTCAACAAGAAATAAATATTTTCAAGAAAATAAAAATTCTTAATTAGTCTCCCATTTTAAGGTTTCATCCAACTATATGAGAGGCCATTACATGCCTTTTCAACGAACGAAATGTAACAGATTTATAATCACAGTGAAAACAATGATAACGTTTTTTACCTCTGTTACAAGTCATTATATGTCTTTTCAACTGCTGAGATGTAACAGATTTATAATTACAATGAGGACATTGATGAGGTTTTTCACCTGTATGGCGAGCCATTACATGTATTTTCAACTGCTGAGATGTAACAGATTTAAAGTCACACTGAGGACAGTCATACGGCTTCTCACCTGTATGACGGGCCATTATATGTGTTTTCAAATTACTAGGTGTAGCACATTTAAAGTCACATTGAGGACATTGACGAGGCTTCTTATGTTTGTGATGGACCATTATATGTCTTTTCAAACTTTGAGATACAACAGATTTATAATCACATTGAGGACAGTGATAAGGCTTTTCACCAGTGTGACGGGCCATCATATGTATTTTCAAACTATCAGAAGTAATACATTTATAATCACAGTAAGAACAGTGATAAGGCTTCTCACCAGTGTGACGGGCCATTACATGTCTTTTTAACTGCTGAGATGTAACAGATTTAAAGTCACACTGAGGACAGTGACAAGGCTTCTCACCTGTGTGATGGACCATTATATGTACTTTCAATTGCTGCAATGTAACAGATTTATAATCACAATGAAAACAATGATACGGTTTCTCACTTGTGTGACAGGCCATTATATGTCTTTTTAACTGCTGAGATGTAACAAACTTAAAATCACACAGCGGACAGTGATAAGGCTTCTCACCTGTATGACGGGCCATTATATGCGTTTTCAAATTACGAGGCGTTGCACTTTTAAAGTCACATTGAGGACACTGACGAGGCTTCTTATTTATGTGATGGACCATTATATGTGTTTTTAAACTTTGAGATACAACAGATTTATAATCACAGTGAGAACAGTGATAAGGCTTTTCACCTGTGTGACGGGCCATAACATGTATTTTTAATTGCTGAGGTGTAACAGATTTAAAGTCACAATGAGGACATTGATGAGGCTTCTCGCCTGTGTGATGGGCCATTACATGTCTTTTCAACTGCCGAGATGTAACAGACTTATAATCGCAATAAGGACAGTCATATGGTTTCTCACCGGTGTGACGAGCCATTATGTGCCTTTTCAAACTATGAGATCTGACAGATTTATAATCGCAGTGAGAACAGTGATAAGGTTTTTCATCTGTGTGATGGGCCATTACATGTCTTTTCAACTGCAGAGATGTAGCAGATTTAAAGTCACACTGAGGACAGTCATAAGGCTTCTCGCCTGTGTGATGGGCCATTATATGAGCTTTTAGCAGAGGATGTGTAACAAATTTAGAGTCACATTTAGGACAGTGATGAGGCTTCTTAGCCTTGTGGCAGGCCATTATATGTCTTTCCAAATCATAAGGTGTAACAGATTTAAAGTCAAACTGAGGATAGTGGAGAGGCTTCTTACCAGTGTGATGGACCATTATATGTTTCTTCACATCATAAGGTATAACAGATTTGAGGTCAAACTGAGAACAGTAATGGGATTCCTCATCTTTATGGCCACTGTTATTGGCACCTGTAAGCAATAAATTACCATACTCAATAATAAAATCAAATCATGTATTTGAAGTAGGGCAATGGTAACTACACCAGTGATGGACATAGTTAAAGAATTCTCAATCATTTTGACCGCCGCTTTACTCATTCTATTTATGAATCTCTCCAATATTTTGGATCTCTTTAATTTAATTAATAATTTAAAATTTAAGAAATATTCAGTTTAACAGAGGTAATTTCCATTTTATCAATCCACTTTTTACACTATTGATGGATAATCCAAAATTCTAATTAAATAATAATGGACCATTACCAATAATAAATACATCGCAGAAACATAAAAAAAATTATTAAGCTTTAAAAAATAACGCTTGTAGAAATTTTAATTGATTTTTTGCTAGAATAACTGTAATATTTTGAAAATATTATGAAAAAACAGAGACATGTAATGGCATGAAAAAAAACATAATGTCCTATCATACAGGCGAGAAGCCTCATCATCTGTTAGATTTCCATGGTTGAAAAGACAATATCAATTTTACACATATGTGATTATTTAAATAATAAATTCCTGAAACACTAACATAATAATATATTGAAATAAATAATGATTTGCTTACACAACAAAGTTTCAATTTACACCGCTTCATTTTTAATCCTGTCATAAATATTTTAATGAGTAAAAATCTATTATCTACAGTGTTCAGAATTATTGGGAAATTGGTTGTCGGTTACCTCTGCTTCTGAAAATCAGTTGTTGAGCCAATTCATACATTGTAACACTGACCTCAATTATTTTAAACAAATAGATTCTTTAGTCTATATCATAGATTCCATTTAATGGGCAACAATCTCTTCATCATTCAATTTTTTCAATGATCCTTTAAACAAGTTTTGAGTTCCGTCTTGTTAGAAAAACAATGAATGAATTATGGTGGTATGATGACTTCTTCTACGGTTGTTAAGTTTTCATCCATCAACTTGCTTTGAAACAGTCACAGCCAAAGTTTTGGTTCTATTAAAAATTAAAGATTGTCTTATTTAGGCATCCGTATATCTGTTTTGGTTCCTTAGGATTGTGAAGTTATTAATTTTATTTACCATAAAAAATCATACTTAATTTACATTGAGGAATCGTTCTAACATCATGTTCCCTTCTACGTGGAGATAATACCGTTGGTCTCACGGTTAATAGATTGCCAAGAAGTAAACGGGCCGACAAAAGATTTAGCATTAGTGAATATTATCTGCCAAAACTTGTGCAGTTATTTATCCTGCACTTCCCCATAATAATTATCAACATGTTGTTCAAATGCAGCTAGCCGAATTTTATATCTAGAGACAAACGTGAGCATAGGACATGAAAAGATTCTATTAAAACTGGAGAAATAACAACAAGTCTAGGAAATGGACATGAGTGGGCCCAATGAAGGACACCCTATGTTCAAGACTTGTTAAAGATCTTTTGAGAGAAAAACAATAAGACCATACTATTTTCTATTGTTTCGAACCTCAATAAGCACAAAAACATGATCATTTATTTAAAAAGTCTGAATTTTATGGGTGTCCATAATTAATTTGAGACAATTTCTTTTAGTTAGTATAGAATACCCTGCAAAAGTAAAGAAAAATGGTAATAACAAATAAATTTACTGCCACAATAGAATTTTTGAGATTCTAAAATGGTGAAATGAGCATTTTAAGGTTGAAAACCCTTAACTTTAAAGTATTATGAACATAAATGTAGAACTAAACCTTATCAAAACTGTGAGTAGGAAGCTGATCCCAAGAGCACACTATAGAAATAATACCTATAACTATTTTTGAACCTACTCTTGGGGATCGCCTTCATACAGTTGTTAACTCCGAGCATTGAGCATCTTTCATCCTGTAAGCTGTAAACCGATCAGGAAGAATATTATTTATATTTAAACGCCAACTGTCCATCACTGGTATGATTATCTTAAATTAAATATATTGTGGGTTTATTGCATAAAGTCATTAATGGGTGATAAATATTCACCAGCAGTCTTTTTAAAAAAAAAATTAATTTTTTATTTATGCCAACGTTTCAACCCAAACATGTAGGTCATCTTCAGGGCGTGGTTTGAGCACTGAGGGTGTTCAAGTAGCAGTACTAGCAATACTTAAATTTTTTTTTTTAAACAGACTGCGTCCTGAATATTTATCACCCATGGTTGGTTTAGTTCTACATATAGTAGGTTTAGTTCTACATTTATGTTCATAATACTTTAAAGTTTAGGGTTTTAAACCTTAAAATGCTCATTTCATCATTTTAGAATCTCAAAAATTCTATTTTGGCAGTAAATTTATTTGTAATTACCATTTTTCTTTACTTTTGCACAATAAACCATAGTACTGCTAGGCAGTACTTGAACAACCTCAGTGCTCAAACCAAGCCCTGAAGATGATCCACATTGGTTGAAACGTTGGCATAAATAAAAATTTTTTTTTAAAAAATACTGTGTCCTGAATATTTATCACCCATGATATGTAGAACAGTCGACTAACTTTCTTACAAAAAAAAAAAAAAAAAGCCATTAAGTGCATTTTTTATAAAGGTTAACTTTCAGTCTTTTTTTTTTTTTTTGTGAAATTCCACCTTATTTACCTACACAAAAACACCATGAAAATGACACACACTCTTTTATTTATCATATACAATTACACTAAGCACACAGTTTTGTGAAAATACATCAAAGTTCTTAATTATTTGAGGCTATGAAACGTCACTAAATCACTTTGGGCAATAAACCGATGAAATTCATTATTTGAATATTTTTAACCTTTCAGTTGCGTGAGATGTTAATCAAAGTCAGGTGCCGTGTGCGAGGGATTTATTCACTGAATTGCTAACGTCACTTTGCTCTTTTTCACATTAAAATATGCTTTATTTGTTATGACTGACTTATACACATTCCTTTAAAATGATGTTCGCTCATATTTTAATAAACAGTTAAATTTTTTTTTTTCATTTTAAACTTTCATTTAACTTTATAAATTATAAATTGTTTTACATTATACATTATATTAATCTATTTCTGTTAATGTTTTATATGGAAAAAATAAAAAAACGTTTCATTGTACGGTTAATTTTATTACATGTATTTCAATTTAAAAAAATGAATATTATACATTTTTTCGTTGCTGTTAAAAAATATTTTTACATTAAAATAATTTTTAATTGTGGGTAAATGGTTGACTGTCGTGAATAATGAAGAGAAGAATAGTTGGGGTGGTCAGGCAAATAAGAAGGCAAAAATAAATGATAATATTTATTTTGACATTTGCCGACGTTTCGACCTGAAGTTCAGGCCATCATCAGGGCTGACTGCAAAGATGTAAATCGAAGCAATGCTGTTTTGCTTGCATGATGCTCGAAGCAATGCTGTTTTGCTTGCATGATGCTCGAAGCAATGCATGATTGCTTCGATTTGCATCTTTGCAGTCAGCCCTGATGATGGCCTGAACTTCAGGTCGAAACGTCGGCAAATGTCTTCTTATTTTTTGCCTTCTTATTTGACTGAACACCCCAACTATTCTTCTCTTCAAAATAATTTTTAATTTGTTTATAAATATTACAAATGTGTATCTATATGGTAAATTTTGAAACAAGGTTCCACACATAATGTTTTCTCACAGTCTGGACACATGTAACATGACCTCTTTCTTTTCTTCTCCCTTTTTTTGCACACCACGCAATCTCTTGTACGCCCTTCAGGGATTTTTTTTGGAAAGTACCGACCTGTCAGTCTGATTTCTGATGTTTTGCTTCCCCGTGATTGCTGTTTTTCCCCTGGTATTTATTTACCAATTCCCTCACTAACACCAGTTGAAACTTAGCAAACGTAATTTTTTTTTTAATTTAAAGCTTGATAAACTATGTGGCTGTTATAAACACATATATATATCAAATGGAAAAATAATTGTATGTACCATTTGGTACTTTTTCTTATCGACCCTACAGCACTCAGCAACATAGCTGTTTTATCAACAATCGCCATATTTCGGTTATAGTCTATAACAACAGTAGGTTTTATTACTTTTTCCCCTGTTCTGTGATCTACTTTTTTCGTTTCTGCAGTTTCAGCCTTGTGGAGAGTTGAAAGCATCCAGACTTCCTTCTTGTCCTGCCATTTCAGTGCTATCATTTTTCCAGAAGATCTGTAAGTCAAATTCCCTCTTTTTAATTTCTCCTTGATCGGAGGCATCTCTTTTCTATTTTTTCTGACTTTACCACAAGCATTGGTACGTTTGCTGTACAGCCACATAAATAATTCTGGGCTTGTGTAACAGTTGTCAACATATAAGGTGTGACCCTGGTCCAGATAGGGCTCTAGCAAAGTCGCGACAGTGTCACCAGATACTCCTAACCCATACTGTTTAAGGTCAGTAGACGCCCCTGTGTACACAATGAAGTCCATTATATACCCTGTTTTACTGTCGCATAGAACAAATAATTTTATTCCAAAGAGACATCTCTTAGATGGTCTATGTTGTTTGAACGAAAGACGGCCCTTGAATAAAATTAAGCTCTTGTCAATACACAGATTTCGGTAGGGTTTTAACAATTTAGGAAAAGTGTCTCTAAGGTGAGTTAAAACACTTCTAATCTTCAAAAGATGATCACCGTTGATAACGCCATTGTCCGAAAAGTGTATAAGCCTTAAAATAAGAAAAAATCGGTCTCGCGACATTAGATTTCGGAAGACTGGTGTTTCAATAAGATTATCGTGTGATCAATATTCCACCAGTTTTAATTTTTTAACTCTTGCCATTAATATAGTTATGGCAATAAATAAATAAAGTTCCGGAATATTTATGTCTTTCCACCTTTGTAGTCTGGATTGAGCAGACGGAACTGTTTTTTCTTTTACGTATCTATAATATTTGTTACTTTCACATACTATAAAACTCATGTGAATTTTTCAAATATTGAAGAATAGCTCACCTCTTCAAATTGGTCTGTCCTTACTCCACATCCATATTCATTAAAATTAAAAATTTTAGGAGTAATATTTTTCTTTGTCCACTCAAAACGTTGCTTCCTTTTCTTCACAGGAGGTCCTTTGTTTTCAGAAGAATCATTTTCGCTGCCATCATCAATTACTGCTTGATTGGTGCGTCTTCCTGATGTACTACATTGATCAGGGTTGATTTGAATGTTTTCATCTGAAGATGAAGAAAAATCTCCTTCCTCTTCAAAATCACTGTTTATAAGCATCTCACGGATCTCATCAACTGTAAATATTTTGAAACTCGTATTCAACTTTCGCACTTCAAAACACTAACAACGGCTGTTAGTTTTAGTGTTAAACAGTGTTTTCAAAAGAGTAGAGAAAGGTGAAATATGGGTGAAAGCAGGTATAGGTATGAGCCCTCACCTTAAAGGGTATCTGCGATTAAATAATACATCTCACACTATCTAGTGGTCCAGCAACAACCTATGACTCATAGGGTTACCGGTAGAGAGCTCTGTAATGAGCCAGAATATTAACTTTGCGCAATTAAACGATAAAGAGATGACATCTATATATTGACTCAGAGTGCCATAGGCATGGTCTTTCCAGAGCCACTATGTTGACATTGCCCGCTGGCGTCAAAGCAGGCCCGAGTCAATATATTGGCTTTGCGCATCTAAAGGCTTAAAAATTATTATTATAAATAAATTAATATTAAAATATTATAGTTCAAGTATTTTCTAATACTTATTGGTGATATTGGGAAGGAGAGCTGGAGGCCAAACTGTCCATCACTGGTATGATTACCCTAAATTAAATATATTCTTATTTTAATATATTTTAAATTATCATTAAAATTATCGATAACATCTTAAAATTTTGTTGTTACTAATACAAATTAATGGTACATCTAATAAAGTTTATAAGACAATGAAAATAATAGCAAAATCAGGATATGTCATTTTCTTTCAGTAATATTTCATGATATGCAACAAATCACACAACAATGCCCTGTTTATACTGTCTCCTACAAAAGCTACTTACTTTTTTTTTTTGGGTCCTCCCTTTCCTCGCCTTTAAGGCTATACGGGGTTCTCCCGGGCCAGGGAGTGTGGGCGGGGATTTAAAAGACGCCCCTGCGACATTACACGCGAACTCGTGACTATATTTTATCATTGTATCATAAATCAGGTTGCCAGGCAACCATTGTGCCACTCCGCACACAATCTACTTACATTGTCACAAATAAGAAAAATAATAATAATTTTGTAGCTAGCCAGCAGGATGCAGCTGATGGGTTCAGTTGCTGGCATCTTGCAAACCCTCACAAACCTCACAATCATGACACTACGCCATAATACAAACACAGACACCAAGGTCACACACCCTGGGGCCACCTTATCTAGGAAGACCTGGCAGCGGGGATAAAATGCAAACTACCTACTAATATGGAGTTACAAAACAGAAGAATTGCCTCAGATGAATCCAGAGTAAGGGCTGCTCTGGAGGGAACACAACACCAGCCCTCGATATCGGCAGGCAGTGCGAGTGATGCCACGATGCTGTATGGATCCGTAAGACCTGAAACCTCAGGATTAACATCATCTGATTTGAGCTTAGAGACTGATCGGCCCCCCCACACGAAGAAGACAACCCAACCGCCAGAGGAATAGACAGGTCTCAGCATATGAGATGGACACGCGATATGAATAAAGCAGCCATCAGTGCTTATTATGTGGCTTCAAATTTGGAAACAGAAAAGATAGGATATAGAAGTAAGCTAGTAGAGGTACTGGAAAGAAAAATTTTTCCTAGTTGCACTTTCTGGACAACGGACAGCCGATCAGGTTAGACAAATTTTAGCACGAAAGTTCCCATTCGAATCAGAGCCTAGTCATATCAAGGAAGGGATCATAGGAAGCCTAAACCAGGATATTACACATATAAATGCCACAGTTGAAAATGCTATCAAAACTGAACAGAATGTGGTTGAAGAAATGAAAAATGAAACAACCCCGGAAAACCGAGAGAAGTCCGAAATTTACTACAGGCTAAAAACTCTAAATTTGAAGGTTTTTTACTGGAATGCAGACCGATGCTTCCCTAAGTTTCGGGATGAATTAAGACCAAAGACACAGTTAGGGCAATAAATGATGAAATGGTACGATTTAGTAGTGGCGACCCAGATCTGGATGAAGTGAAACCCTGGATTTATGTTGGAAGAAGTGTAGTATCAAAAATGCTAGGTCTGATTAAAGATAAGGTACCAATAAAGAGTCTTGACCACAAATACCAAGAAAAATTACTGCCATGGAAGAGAAGATTGACAAAGAAAATCGAAGCACTGGGGTGTAATATTGGTACTATTACGAATTATTTAAACAAGCCAAATAAATATTCTTTAAAATTAAAAACCAAAATAGACAAAATAATTGTTTTAAGTATTGGATCTATTGACAAATGTGAAATGATTGAGAAGCTAAGCTCACACCTCGATATGTTAAAACAAAAAAATTGTTGTTTATACCAATCAGAAAAGAAGGTACACTGAAGTGGAATATAGAAGGAAGATTGAGAAAAATTCTTTGTTCAAATCAAATGAGAAAGTGTCCTACAAAACATTATAATCGAAAGATCAGGCTTCATAATACAATTAACAGGGATGATGTAAGAGCCTATTGGGCAGATACATGGGAAAACCTGAAGAAATATAATGAAAAAATATGTCGGCTTAAGAACACCAGGAGAAAAGCTGTGAATATACGCTCAATGAACATTTCCGATTTATGTGAGGACGATGTAATTTTCACAGTAAAGAGAATGAAAAATTGGAAAGCACCAGGTCCTGATAAGATCTATAATTATTGGTTTAAGAGTTTTAGTTGTATGCACAAGGCCCTAGCTACATGCTATAATAATCTCCTGAATAATATTCAAACTCCTCCTGACGATTTCTGCCAAGGAATCGCTCATATAATTTCTACATGTCATCAAAATGGATCTAAATATTTTATACCAATAATGAATTTAAATAATGTCTATAAAATCCTAACATCAATTATTGATCAATTGACCAATCAATAATGAAAACGGGCTCATGGCAGATGAATAAATAGGGTGCAAAACTAATTCTAAAGGATGCAAGGAGTTCTGGATTGTTGACTCTTTCGTTGGTGTACTGGTTTCTAACAGAAAAAGGAATCACAATGTTGCTTGGATTGACTTCCAAAAAGCCTATGACTCCGTCACACGACTGGCTGATTGAAATTCTAAACATCTATAAGATAAAGAGGCTGATGGAAAAAAAATATTTAGCGATAAAGAGAGGAATATTCCAAGGGAATTCATTGAACCCAATACGGTTTAAATTAATTTTGCTTATTTATGACCTAAATTCAATTGATTCGTGTTCTTAATAATTAATGTAAATAACAAAGGTTATTCATTAATTTAGTTTTATTGACATACTTATTTATAACTTGATTTTTTTTTTTTTTTTTTGTACTCCCCTTCCTCGCCTTCAAGGATATACAGGGTTTTCCCAGACTGGAGGGTGTGGGCGGGGATTTAAAAGACTCCCCTGGCACCGGAACGCAGACTCGTGACTATTTCAAATCCATTGTCTCATAGATCAGGTTGCCAGGCAACGGCGGTGCACACACGTTAGCCCATTCGGCCACCCCCTCCACATTACATTCATTACTTGCAGATTAAAAGAAAAAAAACTCGGGACCCGCCACCTAACTTATAACCTATAAATGCGCTTACAGTTGAAAAAGGTTGGGGATCCCTGATATAGAACTTTTAATTATTATTCACGTTAGTTAGAATAAATTAGTTGTGTTTGTCAGAGGTGAATTTGTTATTTAATTTTCTTACATGCCTCAACATCTTTCATTTAGACAAGTGAAGACGAGTCATTTTAAGCGTATTCACCCATACTAAAATTTCATATATACTTGTAATCATTGTCACTAAAGTATCAGTTCCCCGAAATTCGAGCAGCAGTAGCCACCCTTAAAACGTTTTATCCAGTTGGAGTTTAGTTTTAAAATTAACTTCAGCTTACGGGTATAAATAACCAAGACCCCTGAGCAAACAGGACGTTATCTACAGACTGAAATTTAAAAAAATGTTTTTCAAAAAGGTTTCATAAAAATACAATATTTTTCTCACCATCACGAATCTGCTTTTTCTCTCCTTCTTGGATATCAATTTTGGGAACTGCAAATAAAAAAAATAAATTCAATCATAAATTTGAAATGACAATTATTGATGGCAATTAGTGATAAAAATAATATATTTTTAATGATGTAGAGATGGTTGACCGTTGATATAATATGAGAAGGAGTTAGTCGAGGGAGTGGTCAAATAAATAAAAAATTAAAATATATTAATTATTTTAATTTTTGCCGACGTTTCGACCCACTTTGCAGGTCGTCTTCAGGGCGTAGGATGTGGCAGTGCGGGAGGCAGTTGAAACACTGGCAGTCAGTGTTTCAACTTTGACTGCCAGTGTTTCAACTACCTCCCGCACTGCCACATCCTACGCCCTGAAGACGACCTGCAAAGTGGGTCGAAACATCGACAAAAATTAAAATAATTAATATATTTTAATTTTTTATTTATTTGACCGCACCCTCGACTAACTCCTTCTCATATAATATATTTTTTATATCTTTATTTCTTAAACCACACCTGTCAAAAATATTGACAATCGGTGAGTTTGCTGTAGGTAAGAATATGAGTTTACGGCTAAAGCATTGATCGGCATGAGGGAATGGAGAGTCCAATAGGATCCTGACATGTCTTAATTTTAGTATGGATTTTTAAGCGAGAAGATCCAACTGCTTTTGAGTCTCCAAATCCGGCTATGTTAATTGTCTCCATGTCATCTATGAGTGTTAGAATGTCTGTGAAAGTTTTTGACTGGAACATTTGTAGTTTACATATGTGGATTATTTTGGCTGTCTCATACACACACATATATATATCGTCAGTTTATTACAAAAATTCATTAGGTGACATTTCATAAACTTAACTATTCAAGAACTTTGAACAATTGTTCCTTTATGAAATCAGAAAATTGTGCACTCCTAAGTATATTTGATAAAGAAAAGGGGGGCTTGTTTCATTTTCATGCCCTTACAGTGTTTTGTATCAATAAATTAAGTTGAAATTCATAAATACTGTAACCAAGATTAAGAAAGCACTGGAAACAAAACAAACTGTACTCTCTTTTGTTTCCGGAGCCAGATGACTAATTGATATTTTAGCATGTGCATGTGCTCTTACATCTTATTGTATCTTGACTATCTTTTCTAGATGTTTGGATGTGGCATGCCATACTATTGTCTATAGAATAAGTATATTTTTTTTTTTGTTATTTTTATTATTTTAAATATCTTCCTATTTATCTTTAATTGTATATAGTAATTGTGTTTAAATTCCCTCCTTTTCCTTGTATTTTATTTCTTTTTATTGTACATAGTATTAATTCTGTAAATATTTCTTTCTCTAAATAGATCTGTTAACCTTTTTTGCTGTTTTATAAAAAAATATCCAACCTAATCCTTCTCACATGAGCTAGCATCGTAGAATAAATGATTTATCATGGCCAAATCATGGGTAATTAACTTATATTCTTTATAATTATCTCTTTAGAGATGAAAGGCTAGTAAAGCCAGGCGCCCAACAAATAAAAATTCCTATGAAAAATTATATTTATTAAAAATTATTTTATTATATTTTTATTTTATCCTTTTTTTTTTGGTCATAAATACATTTTTGAAAGTTAACCTATATCGCAATACACTTAGTGATGTTTTCCAATAAATCGATGATATGTTTGTACACTTACTTTTTAGAATGTTGTTTTCTACCTAGGAAAATGTTTCTTCCCAAATTGTTAATTATCGAATTCTTTTATAGCCTATATTTAAAAACCTGTACCACTACAACCCATGAAGGGTTGCACTATTTAGGGAAAGTACGGTTTATTGGTCAACGGCTGTGCAAGGAGGTGACCGAGATCACGCTCAACTGCCAGATTTTCATCCTTAATTAATTATTTAATTAAGAGTACCCACTTTATAGAGGCTGGGTGTGTCCCAGAAGGATCTCCCAACCCCAGGGTCGATCCACAGTTGATAAAACAGAATAAATAATTTATCTGCCATAAGCCGGGATTCGAACCTGGGGTCTTGAGCAATGGAAGCTCAGCGCCTTATCAATGAGCTACCCCAGTCTGATATCCTATACCGAGGAATTAGTAATAAACATGAGAAACTAGTCATTATTTAAAATAAACCGTATTAAAAGTATTTCACAGCAGATTTGGGCAGTATTTCAAGTTTAGTTTTTTAAAATACAAAATAAAATATATTTTTTAATAAAACATATATAGAATATGTTGTTTGTAACTGTATTTTCTTTTAAAATTTTATCTGTATTTTAAAGATATATAATGTATTTTATTTTGCATGGTAAACACACAAAATAAATTACCTTTAATATCCTTAAAATAAATTTAGTAGGTTCCCGGTATTATACGTTGATCATACGACAGAAAATATTTTGTATTTGAAATAAATTTTCTGAAAACAATTCAATTGCTTGGTAATTAAAATACATCAGAGTTTAAAAACAGAAAATACGTGGTATTTCAAATATAGTAGTTTAAAATATATTTTGCCCAGGTCTGCTTTAGAGGAGGAATTTTTATTTTGTAAATTCGCCATTTAAGCCCCCGTAAGAGTACATCAATCATGATCATACTTTCCAAAAAAAAAATCTTAATTATAAATTGGCCTAACGAGTTTAATTATAATCTTTGGAATCATTTTCGATTTTAAATTGTAAAATTGTAATATTTATGAAATAAATTGGCAGATCCAATAAGCCAATATTCTATGTTTGATTAATTAATAATTTCAAACAGGTATAATAAAAATATTAATATAAAAATAAAATACTTTTCTCACCATAATAATACTGTTGTCCCTCCTCCTCAGTGATATCAATTTTGGGAACTGCTAAAAAATTAAAAAAATTCAATCATTAATTTGATGTAACAATTATTGTGCCTAAAAGTTATTAAAGACTATTACACTATCTGTTTTATCAGTTCATAATAATATAACATATCCCAGCCATATGCAAACATTAAATACGCAATTTCAGTTTTGTATGACATTTCGTTTTTGAGCTTAGGTTGTTCACACACACCGACCATTTTGTGGGACTTGGTTAATTGGACTCAGAGAATCTCAGAACATATATTTCTGTTGAAAACTCAGATTCGAAAATTTTCAAGATTACAACACTTTTCCTTATAATATATTACATATATAGGTAGGTAAAGGTAAAAAAAAAAAAGGCCCCTAAAATTAAATAGTGGGTCACAATTAGATAGAAGGAAGATTTAAGCAACAAATGGAGCAAAGATAAAAATACAACATTGCACGGCTACTCAACTATGTTGAGTTGCTAAATGACACAGCATACTCATCAATCAATCCGTACATATATTATTACAGTAAAGCTCGAAATCGGTTTTGTACCAAATATAAGCTCCTGTCATGCTCAAATACCACGAGTGGGGTACCGTTGGATTCAGAATTTCACGGGGGGTTAGTGAATCGTATTCTCCACTTTTGTTTTTCTTCCTAAAATAAATAAAGTCGATACAAACATTTTGCTAGGCTTTGATACTGGAACGGTGGTAGGTCTGTAGATCGATACGGGACAAATTGGATCTTAAAGATTTTGATGCGTACAACAAGACCCGAATAGTTCCCTCGGAACTATCGGATCCTGCGTTTTTAAGCCGAAAAACGTACTATTTTCGAGATAACGCAAGGCATAAGGTTCGCATTCACACAACCTTACATTAATTGTAGTACTGTCATTGAATACATGTCTCATTTCGTCAACTTGAGAGAGGGGAGTTTATATTATTAATCGATGGTGTTTTTGATCGGCAATCCATATCATCGTTAATTTTTCACCAAATCTCAAAATTGAGCCACCAATTTCGAAGGCTTCCTTCTCCTTCAGTCAGGCAAAATAGTCCAATCACCCAGAAAATTCAGGCAAAAAAGTTATGAAAGAAAATAAACTTTATTTGCGGATAACTAAAAAATTACACACTTTTCCCTGGGTTATGCCCATAATTATATAAAACATTACTAAATTCCCTACAAAAGGAAAAAAAAAATCATCACAATCGGACAATTTTTAGTAAATATACAGCTTACTTAAATTTGTATACATGTTGGTTCCAAACAAAAATGAAGATTTAAATTAATTTTTGTTTGCTTTGTGGATTATATTTATCGATAAAGTAACATTTGATGTCTTAATATTTTGATAAGTTGCATTTTCTTATTAATTTGGCATTTGATAACAATATGCTGTGCGAATTTTTCGCACGGGCCTACTAGTAAATAATACTGTATACAAATATATAAGAGAGAGTTAGGTAATAATTCATAGAATGGCAAATATAATTAATTTTCTCACCTTCATCTTTGACAAGCATTTCACTTTCTTGTTTCACGTGAACAACCCCATCTGCAGTTATATAAATAATAATTTTAACAACAAAATAAAATAAAATTAATCAATTCAGTAAGTAAAAGAAAAAAGAAAACGAAATAATTTGAAAGAGATTGCATATAAATTAAGAACTTTTCTCACCGTAACAAGTCTGCTGTTCCTCCTCTTCTTTTATATCAGTAGTATCAGCTACAACAAAATTTAATTATTAATTTAAAGCAACAATTATTGTACGTATAATTGTTAATGGTATTTAGAGATAAAAATAATAATATAAGAAATAAATATTTGAGTGGCCTCTTATCAAAGGCGAACATCTGTCACCAAATTGAAATTGAGTTATTAATTGATCTAATTTTAAGATTCTATTAATTGATAGAATCTTAAAAAATTGTAAATATGTTAAATTTAGCTTACAACTTAAATTTGTTTCAAAAATAGAACTTGAAGCGTAACTTTCTTTCAAAAGCGGATATTTGTTGAAAGTGGTCTGATAGAGTAGCAAAAGAAGCTCCATAAAGGCTGTGGTAAAGCATTCTTGACAGCATCTCAACTTGCACTACCGCTGAGAGAAATCATACCCCAAGAATGGCAAAGAGTGGAACAACAGCGTACTTAGCAAACTAAGGACAATAAAGAAAGAGGTGTAACCTTGAAGCAGCTCCCAACACAGCAGTCGTAGACAAGAAATCGTCTCCACTGACTGACACATCTCCACCTCACAACAAAGGATTTTATCCCTAAGTGTCAAAAGTGTGACCTGACATTATAACTACAAAGCACATTTTGGAAGAGGGCCCATTTTATACCACAAGTTTAAAAGAAATTGAAATACCTCAGGATTTATCAATTTCATACACAACGAAAGTCTTATAAAACATATTTTCCAAGTTTATAACTCATGATCTTTTGCAGATTTTTCCTTCTTTTTTACTTTCCTGCCTATACTAGGTAAGGAAAGTATTGCAATCGGCTCAAATTTCCGATATGCGGTTTTCGACAGATCTATACATTTCAGAGTCCCCTGAGTCCGAAAAACATATTTTTAGCCATTGGTCTGTCTGTCTGTCTGTGCCAAGATTTTCTGGGGAACTACTAAACCGATTTTGTTGCTTCTTTTTTTATTTTGTAGGGTTTTGACTACTGATGCATGTGACAGAAATTTGGTGCACAATAGCTTGCACGCAATAAATGAAAAACATGTTTTTCTATAGACTGTAGGGCGAAAATGGCTATAACGACTTTGATGAAACTTTCCTATAATGTTCTAAAAATTGTCCTTTCAATTTTTGGGTATGGACTGAATTCCCAAGAAAATTCAGGAAAAAAAGTTATAAAGAAAAGAAAAATGTTATGGGGCCTAACTCCTTAAGTATATATTATACGGTAAAATTTATAATGAAACTTTTGAAAGGTGATTAAATTACCAACAAAACAAAAGAAGAATCATCGGAATCAAACCAGTATTAGCGATGACACAGCTTATTCTATTTTTTACACATTTTTTAACTTATTACTTTCCTACCTATACTAGGTTAGGAAAGTATTGCAATCGGGTCAAATTTCCGATAAGCGGTTTTCGACGGAATTATACGTTTCAGAGCCCCCTGAGTCCGAAAAACACATTTTTAGCAATTGGTCTGTCTGTCTGTGACAATCAAGTTTGCTTCAAAAATGAACAATTATGAATATTCGTTTCAAAATCGGACATCTATATTTTCAAAGATGAATATGACTAACTTCTCAAATCATGTTGAAATCAAATCCTTCCTAGAATTAATAAACAATGCTTAAGTTTTTTTTAGCTATGAAAATTGGCTTTCTCCCAAATTTCTAAAAAAGACATCAGTCCATCTTTGATATGAAGTCACTCATTTAAACCCTTAATAATAAGGAGATTTTAAGAACAAATATGAAGGGAAAAATAAAAAACAGAATGACAAATACAATTAATTTTCTTACCTTCATCTTCATCTTGAACAAGCATCTCAGTTTCTACTTTCACGTGAACAAGTCCATCTGCAGATAAATAAACAATACTTATAACAACAATAAAATGAAATTAAAATAATCAATACACCAAGTTTAGAGATCTCCTTTTTCCTTAAAGAGAGTAAGTAGGATGCATATAGAAAAAATAAAATAAAATAAATAATTTTGAACAGATTTCATACAAATTAAATATTTTTCTCACCATGATAAATTTCTTGTTCTGATTCTTCTTCATGATTAACTTCCTGTTCTGCCTCTTCTTTTATATCGGTAGTATCAACTGCAAAAAAGGTCAAGTATTAATTTGAACCAACAATAATTGAGTATGTGTTATATTACATAATAATAATAAATATGGATGATCTCAAGCTTTACGCTATAAATGGAGGTGAAATCAGAACTCAGGTAATACAATCAGCATTGATATAAAAATGGACCAAGGAATGCATAAATAACTAGTATGCAGTAAAAGAGGAACAATAGTTGATCTATAAGAAGATCTAATAATGAATCAACAAAGAGAATTTGATTCATACAAATACCTAGTACTACACCAACTACTGATAATCAATGCCATTTCAAAGAAATACATTGAGGAAGAATATAAGTTTTGCATCAAATTAGTACTTGATTTTCATTTAAGTAGACAAAAACTAATAAGGGCATCAAAGACCTGGACAGTACCTGCTTTAGCCCACTCATTCACAGAACTGAAGTGGACGAAAACCAATATAGAAAGGTTGGATCCTATTCTCAGAGACTAGATGGTGGAAGAAAACCAGAAACTGAAGGACTTCAGCTAGCTATTCAGAAAGAGGTAATAACCAGAAAGCATATATGTGGAGAGGATATCAGTGACTTATGTTGTTAATGGAAAAAAGCAGTCGAGTCGATACAAAATGTAAAATCAGGGTGTACAAAACTTGCAGGTAAGTAATACTTGCAGAGACACAGCAATGCGGCTAAAGTTTCATGCACCAAACCGTGAATCAGAAAATGGAGCTCATAACTATTGTCCATATTATATGAAGCCAACCATTATTTAATATTAAACTGTTTGGGAATTAACTACTAATGACAGCGTAGGAATATTAATGTAAACCAAAATTAAAATTTTCAGAATTATCATTAACTAATAACAAGAATATTTAAATGTTTGCGGGAAATAATATTTGCTTGTTTTCTTGAAAAATATTTCAGAATTCAACCTAATTCTATTTAATCCAAATAATTTCAGATTTCAAAAACTCAAATGGACATAGTTAATATTTCTTTCATGAAAAATAAAAATACAATAGTATTAAAATATTCTGTACTAATAATGTAGAATAGTATTAATCTATTCTGTATCATTAAAAATAAAAATAAGATGGAATTGTTCATTTTCCAAAGAACTGATAAAAAACGTTCAGATTTCACTTATAGACACAGACCATTTTGTATAACTAGTTTTTATCAACTCGGGGCAACCTCAAAACGTGTGATAACTTAGAAAAATAGGATTAGAAATATTTCACAAACACTGCCCCTAACTATATATTTTGTAATATGGATACAAAAGTAAAAATGATATATCTGGATCCCTTCCAAGTTCAGCAGAACCTGCTTTTATGGTCTTAAGCATTGGCACCTAACTCCTTCAACCTTTACCATGGACACCATCCTAAAATGGTTTAGTAGAACTTTAGGAACTCTATGATAAAAACAGGTCCAACATTCATTTAACAAGAGACATCTTGAGAAAAAAAACTCTAACGTTTATTATTCGAGTGTCCTCCTGAAATGTTAATAACTTAAATGGCTCCAAAATTCATCTGGGGTGTATACTTCTTGTTTCCCATGAGTAAACCCTCTAACCAACATGTCAGGAACAGAAATAAATTATAACACAAGCCAAAAATTTGATAAGAAACACTTTTAGGAATAAATAAGGAATCTTTTGTCATTAGCTAAAGGTGAGCAATTTTATTCCAGGTACTAAAACTATAACACTGTTGGGAACACTTGTTCATTATCACAAATCTTCAAAAGACAACATGTCAACATTTTGTAAGACAAAATTAATTTTGATCGCATAAAAAAACCAAGATTTAGGGTAAAAATGAATAAAATCTAAATCTCAAGAAGGATGACATTAGCTTAATACTTTAACTGTAAATACCATAATGTAAATTAGTTTTAATAGACATTATATAAAATAGATACAAAAAAAAATCTCTGATAGATGAAAACATTGAATATTTCGTAATCTGCTATGAAATTATATTATAATTTTAATTTCAGAAGCAATAAAAACTGTAAGGATTCAATAGAAATGTGTACCTGAGATTAGAAATATTTTTTAAAAAACTTACATGAAGAAGAAGATTCATCAGACATTTCTTTTATTCAGAAATACCACAATTTTAGGAGAAAAAACAACAGTTATTGATTTCAAACGAATGAAGTATTCGATCGAACAGATAACAAGCGTTTTTATTTACTTCTTCAGTTCGCCACTAGTCGAGTCATTTATTCTTTTTGTTTTTCGATACTCTTTGTCGTTTTCCAACGAGAGTCTCAGCTCATCAATAATCTACTTCTTTTTTTTTTTACAGTTTATGGCTGTTTTAATTAATGAAGGCTGGATATAAACAAATCTTACTAGTTACTATTGGTGAATAGTGATGGAGCGATATGACCGGAGCTGTGATTCTATCACAGTGATTGGATTGAAGCTATCTGGTGATAACAGTGACAGCCGCACCGAAATCACAGTGACAGTCACTGTAGGCGCTCCGGAATCAATGCTCCCTCACTACTTCAACTCACATGGCTACAGGACACATGTACATAATTTATTTAATGAATGAAATAAATAAATATATATATATATATATTTGCTTCCTGAACTTTGAATGACTTAAACATTTATCGATATAAAGCCATAATTTCTGAATTATGGCCTTCTTTTCTGAATTCTTAGCCTGCCTGAGTATGTGGATATAGTACTAACCCCAGGTACTCTGGTAGAGTCTACTTACTAACTTTTACTTCCAACACCCACACCACCAAAAATAAATACGGCCAAAAACTTAATTCACCGATCTCTCTCTATCTGATCCACATCTGCACCAAACCAGCATCCAGCATGTCAAAAATACACTCCTTTCCAATAATTTCCCTCTCAATAGTATACTTAAACTGTTAAACATTTATACAATCAAAAACATTACAACCTCTCTGAACTCTCCACTATCACTTACCACCCGATATAAAAAATCTCTCTCCAATATTCCTATTATATCAGATGATATACAAAAGTTCTTAAAATCGACTATTACCAATTTACGTCTCTGCTTCAAATTCCATAATGAACTCCTTCTCCTTTTCATCAATTTGAAGGATCCTATACTTTTACAACTCTGATCTAATGTACTTCACGGGATACCTTGCTCTACTCCTAATTGCAATAGTTCCTATAAGGTTTTAGTGGAGAAACTAAAACCATCTCAAAACCCGTATTTTCAAACATAAAACATCCATAACTTCCCTGATCCTTTCAGCCTCCGAACTATCAAAACATGCTTTGACCCTCAACCACTTGATTTTTACAAAGCCTCCATTCTTGTCATGGTCCTTAACCATGGAAAAAGACTCATTTCCGAATCCATCCTCATCTAAATGGAACAGAATCCGGTTAATCATAAACTGGATAAAAACTGTATTTCTTTAACATATGGATACATTTTAAATCTAATTAGTCCAAAACAGTTTCAATATTATATCTTCTATCATTCTTGTTTATTTATTTTTTATCTATTTTCAATTTTGTATTGATTAATTTAATTTAATTGTTTATTTTTAAAGTATTTCTGTTTTGTATGATCTCTCATTTTATTATTATTTTTATATACATTTAAATATTTATACATCTATGTTTTAGCTCCTATTCATTGATGATAAATCGATTATTCCTGGTATCTACAGTCTGTTTCCAGGTATTAGTGATAGGTTACAAAGTCAATTTGCTTTTTAAAGCTGGATGAAATCAAAGAGTAAAAAAATGTCAGATTTAACTTCTTCTTCATGTAAGTTTTTTTCTTTGAGAATATTTTGAATCTTAGGTACACATCAATACAGAAACGTTATGGTTTTTACTGCTTCTTATAGGTTTATTATGGTATTGAATGGCAGGATATGGAATATTTTTTGTTTTCATCTTTCTGGGACCTTTTTACGTCTATCTTATAGAAGGCGTACTAAAAATAATTCATACTAACATATTTACAGTTAAATGAGTAAGTTGATGTAATCCTTCATGAGTTCTGGAACTAAGTAATTTTGATTTATAAGGTGTTGTTAACATGTTTTCTTTTGAAGCTTTGTGATAATGAGTAAGTTTTACATTAACTATTTTATTGATCACTCAATAGTTGACCATAGTGTTGAGAAAGAAGATGGCCATAAAGAAAAACAAAATAAATATTGACAAATAAATAAAATAGTGTTGCGCTACTTTTAAGTTGTTTTTTTATTCATGACTTCTATCCCATCCCGAACTATCTCTCAAGTATGCTATAGCTTGCCATCAGTTAATGAAAGGTTTCCTATCAATTTGTGGCCTGTGTGATAAATTATTTCTTTCTTGGCATGTCGGCGGTTACTTTCTTATTCAATTATTCAAAAGAAACAGACATTTTGAGGTTGCCCCGAGTTGATAAAAACTAGTTATACAAAATGGTCTGCGTCTATAAGTGAAATCTGAACGTTTTTTATTATCAGTTCTTTGTAAAATGAAAAGTTCTGTCCTATTTTTATTTTTGATAATGCAGAATACGTTAATATTATTGTTAGTTTAGTGAGTTAATACAATCTTATAATTATTAGTAAGTTAATACATTCTTAATTTTCATGAAATATTATCTATGTTCATTTGAGTTTTTTTGAATCCCCACATATATTATTACAGTAAGGTTCGAAATAGGTTTTGTACGAAATATAAGCTCCTGTCATGCTCAAATACCATGAATGGGGTACCGTTGGATTCAGAATTTCATGGGGGGTTAGCGAATCGTATTCTCCACTTTTGTTTTTCTTTCTAAAATAAATAAAGTCAATGCAAACATTTTCCTAGGCTTCAATACTGGAACGGTGGTAAGTCTGTAGATCGATACTGGACAATATACTTCCTCCAAACAGGCATAATCTCTCTCTTTAAGGAGCCTCACCAGTTCATGTTTAACTCTGTGGTGGCTGCATGTTAGAAGGAGGGAGTTGGGGCATTTTCCAAGCACAAGTGCTGGTGTTTCTGGCTCTCTGTTGCATTTGCGACAGAGGGACCCAACTTCTCTTACCTGTCCGCTGACACCTGGGACTCCACGCAGGGTTGCATAATTAATATTAAGTTTCAGGGTATTTAACCATTCAGACCCTTTATTGGCTTTGGGGGTCTCTTTAAAATGGCGAACTCCAATGCCTTGCCACCTGCAATTGGTCCATTCCTCAAATGAGTTTTCTCGAAGGCCCAAAGTTCAGGGCTAAGAAAAAAAACAGGTAACAATGGGTATGAGAAACTATTAACATTAAAAAGAAAACAATGGTATATAGGTGAAAGGTATAGTCTAAAAAATGTCAGTAGATGTCTTTTTCACCAATCTTCTCTTCAATTAATCCCTACAATCAACCATCTATCTATAATATTGACAATATTTATGAGCTCCATTTTCTGAGCCATAGTTTGGTGCACAAAACTTGAGCCACTCTGCAAGTATTGTATTCCCCCCCTTTTACATTTTGTATCGACTTGACTGCCTTTTTCCATTAACAACCTAAGTCACTGATACCCTCTCCACATATGTACTTTCTTGCTACTACCTCTTTTTGAATAGTTTGCTAAATTCCTTCAGTTTCTGGTTTTCTTCCTCTATCTAGTCTCTCAGAAGGTGATCCTACTTTTCTAAATTGGTTTTTGTTCACTTCAGTACTACAAATGAGTTGGCTAAAGCTGGTACTGTCCAAAATTAATTTTTTTTTCTACTTAAATGAAATTTAAATTTAAAGTGTTTCTTTGAAATTACATTGATTTTCAGTAGCTGGTGTAATATTGGGTATATTAACGAATCAGATTCTCTTAGTTGATTCATTATTACATCTTCTGATAGATTAATATTAATCTTTTATCGCCTAGTACTTATTTATGTATTCCTAGATCCATTTTATATCAATGCTGATCATCTTTACTGTCTTTTCAGAAGAGCTTTTCTTTCATCTTCATTTCTAAAGTAAAACTTGAGATCATCCGTATTTATTATTATCATTTAAAATAACAATTTACAAGTACACAATAATTGTTTGTTCAAATTAATAGTTGACTTCTGTTGCAGTTTGTACCATTGATATAAAAGAAGAGACAGAACAGGAAGAAAAGTTAAACCAGGAAATTTATCATGGTGAGAAAAATATTTAATTTTTATGAAATCTGTTCAAAATTATTTTATTTTTTCTATCCTGCCCTATTTAAGTACTGAGAAGATCTCTAAACTTAGTGTATTGATTGTTTTAATTTCATTTTATTGTTATTAAAAGCGTTGTTTCATTTATCTGCAGATGAACTTGTTCAGGTGAAAGTAGAAACAGAGATGCTTGTTCAAGATGGAGATGAAGGTGAGAAAATTAATTGTCATATTCATCTTTGAAAATATAGATGTTCGTTTTTAAAACAAATATTCACAATTGTCCATTTTTTAAGTGTTGTCAGTTTGTTGTGTTGTGTTGTCAGTTTTTGAAGGAAATATTGCATATGTCCGTTTTTTATGCAAATTACTCCTAATAGTTTGTTTCAGAACTTACTATCTATGAACTCTAAAATCAGCCTTAACTAATATACTTACTTATATTTTTAAAATATAATAGAAAACAAACATAAAAATGTTAAATTCAAAATGTGTATTTATCTTAATTTGCCCAATCTTCTTAGATATGCAAAATCATACCGATTACATCACTAGATCTCTTTCAAAATCTTCTTCTGCATCAGGATATTTTTATTATTAGATTTTTATTTTTTGAGTGGGATGCTTGATGTTATTTCGTTTAACTTGATCATTTGAAGTCTGCAATTTATACTCACATTTAAGTGTTAGTATAAATTAAAAAATAAAGATCAAAATTTAAAAAATGAAAAATTAATCACACTATAAGCCTAATAAAAATGAAGGGAATGAGGATGAATTAAATCATAGGAACATTTTAATCCATTGTTCGAATACAAACCAAATTAAATTATTTAATGTAATAAAAAAAATTGGTTATATATATATTTTTTTTTTAATTTCAGAAGAGGGGGACGACACAGATTCTCCGAAACTTACAATAAATAACTATCAAAAACTAAGTTTGATTATTATTAAACTGACCTTAAGGCTTTCACTTGAATGTTAATAAAAATTAAATTCATTTATTAACTTCAACTAACCTTTACATGAACTACTTTCATAGGTCTGATAAAACAGATGTTTGTAGTATCAATTATGAATTCCCATATCAGTGACATAAAATTCATTGGTGAGTTTAAAGTAGAAAAGAGGCAAAATTAATAATTAAATTTTGTTGCAGTTGATACTACTAATATAAAAGAAGAAGTGGAACAGCAGATTTATCGTGGTGAGAAAAATAATTTATTTTTATTTATGCCTACTCTATTAAGCCAAGAGGAGGGGATCACTAAATTTAATTTATTGATTAATTTAATTTATGTTGTTCAAAATATTGTTTATTTATCTGCAGATGGGCTTGTTTTTGTGAAACAAGAAAGGGAGATGCTTGTCCAAGATGAAGATGAAGGTGAGAAAATTTATTGTATTTTCCATTCTATTATTTATTTTTACCTTGTTACTTCTTCAACTTGTTGATTTAAATCATCCATTTATCCCCATCACATTAAAGGATTTATCATTTACCTTTATGTGAATTACAGTAAGGGGGAGTGTTGGGGCCAGGGGTTCTTCAAAATCGAAGTACAAATCTTTCCCTGGTGCGTTTCCTCAATGGTGGGGAAAATTAGAGTAAAATTAAAAATGTTGGGAAAGAGGGAAAAAAAGAAGAATAAAATGAGACCTGTAAAACATAAAAAATGTGCATGCACCAGAAAATATAAAAAAATAGAAATATTTCAATAAATAAAAAAAATGGAAAATAAAAAATCCCCTTTGGAATGTTTACAATTTATTGAATACAAAAAAAAAAAGAGATATAAATTTATACAAAAGTTAAAAAACAAAATAAAGAGTGGTATGAAGTTCACTGAAATGAATGAAAAATAAGATACAATATTCAAAGAAAATAAAAACTAATTAAACATCAGGGAAAAAAATTATAAATAAAATCAACTTCTAAAACTATAAATAAACAAGAGAAAACCATAACTGTTCACAGGAACAAAACTAATTTAGCGAAGAAAAAATTAAAATAATTTATTGTCTTTCATGACGAACAAAAAAACCCCAAAAAATTTTCTGAAAACTTATCTATTTAAATAATTAATTATCCTATCTCTCATTGTTAGAAGAAAAAAAAAATTCTGAAAATATTAGTGAGAAGGTATATGTATAATATATTGTTGGAAAGCTGAGAATTTTAGAAACAGCAATATTTTACATATAAAGTTCTGGGAGGTTATGGTGAATAATAAAAAAAAAATATAAATAATAATTTATGAAAATTAATATTCTTTGACGGAAACGAAACCAAATGTTTCTATAGAAGCTATATGAAATTCTCTATCTAAATGTAAATTTTTGAAATTATTTCTAAATTTGAAAACAAATTATATATAACCCACTGAATCGACAAAATGTAATCATATATTTATATAGGTGTATATCATTGATTTATTCTGAAAAATCATTAAGGAACATTTTAGAATAGTAAATAACTGAATAATTTGATGAATTTTTCCTCTGTTATATATATCACATTATCCAATTATTATTAGTGTAAGTCCAATAAGCTCGTAACTGTATTTTGGTAAACTTTACTTATAGAGTTAATTTAAATATTTATTTTATTTAAGTATTAAATTTAAATATGTATTTTCAAATCGCTCCTTGTATATAGAGCCTAGAGACTGGAATTTCGTATTTCAAATAGACTAATGGATTTGTGAGATTTTTGTTGCCTAACATCGATGTAATAAATAAGGTTTGTGTTATTTTACCCTGTCATAATGAGTTTTTGCATTGAGATAAGTATGATCTAAATTCACAAATGTGTTCTTAAAGCTTTAGCTCCATTATAAATTCACTTCAAAAACTTTTCGTAATAGTCCTGTTTTTCCAAGCAATAATTTTGTTGAATAGGGATGGGCGATAGTCGATAGTTCGATAGTATCGTTTAAAAACTATCGATAGTATTGATAGTTCAGTAACTTCCCGACACAGACTTAAAGAGAATTTATTTTCGCTGTATGCTTTAGTTATTTACTTTAAAGTGCTGCATAAATATTATAATAATTAACATTTATATTTGGATACATCCTTAAAGATTTCTGTTAAGGCTAATAAAAATTATTATATATATAACTTAAAAAAATTATTGACGGGAAAATACAATTATATATAAAAATAAATTGCATTTATTTTCCTGATTGTTGAATTCAAAAAAGAAACATCGACAACATATAGGTAGTATTTTTTAAATTGTTTAGTTAGAGGAATAGTTATGTTATGATAATATCGCTTGATTTAAAATATAATAAAACTGTATTGACATCCTTGTAGATTTTATAAATATATATTTTTATGAAAAAAATAAATAAAATATGTGAGGTAAATGTTACATTTTTTTTCCATCGGCACAACTGAAGTTGTAAAAATATTTCCAAGACAGTAATTTGAGATTAAATTAAATTAATTTTTTACCATGAAGGCTTCTTCTTGTTCAATTTTATTTGAGTTTTATATATTGATAAGAATAGCTTTAAACATATCTTTACACCTCCATCCATTCATTTACTTAATGTAACGTTTCCATTATACAATAACAATTTTCTATTGATTGAACATTTAACTTTTGAATTATTATATTATCACTATATCTCATACATCAATGATGGTTAAAAATATGAAGGCGTGTTATTAAAATTATTCCTTTAAGTATATAAAATTTTAAAATAATTTGTGTAAAAGGGAGAGGATACGAACTATCGATAGTCACTAAGAACATCAATAGGGATATCGATAGTTTTATACTATCCATAGTACTATCAACTATTGCCCATCCTTACTGTTGAAAGTAGTGTGGTAAGTGAAAGTTGTATGATGGGGCCACCAGACTTTTTTTTTGTTAACATTGTAATTTTTTATAATAATTGTTTCTTCAAATTAATAATTTTTTTTTCCTTGCAGTTCCCAAAATTGATATCAAAGAAGAAGAGGAGGGACCTCAGATAGATAATGGTGAGAAACACAATGTATTTTTTTGCTTAAATTTTCAGGCAACTTTTTAAAATTCCGAGCTGTTATACTCCATTGCAATGTTCTTTATAAACTTCTCCAATCGAATTCCAACTCACTTGTTGGTGGTGGGGAGCTAACTTACTATCTCATTATAGATGTTTCATTGAAAATTAATATTAAACAATAGATCAACACAAAGTAGGTTAATTTTGAGAATAACAAATATATTAATTATTAACAATATTAATCTTCAGGATGTCATAAGTTTCTCATTGCCTGTAATAAGAATCATATCGTATAATATTTCCTTTTTCTTTCTGGTATTCCTTTCTTTATCGTCATTGTGTTGCCCTTCATTTGTGATGAAAGAATTTTATTTAATTTTAAGAAGTTCATTTTGTTTTTTTAACTTCACACCCAATAAGACAACATGTTTAAGATTCAGATTGTAACCTTATGAGTACAATTGTAATAATTTTTTAAACCATGTATATTTGACAAATCTGTAATAGTTCAAAATTAGTGACAGAAAATAAAACTTGCGATATTTAAAAAAATAAAAAAAGACCGAAAGTCACTTACACATTTGAGCATTTATCTCGATCAAACTTGCATGCAAAGAGGGGAGGGATGCAAGATCATGTACTGAATGAACAAAGAGGGTCTGGAATCGTATGGACCAATCAGAGGATGCAGTCTGTGCTATGTAATAGCGGCGGTTTATTGAGTCTGGCCTGATCTGTCTCCACAATTTAGAGTGTGCGATAGTCAACCGAAAATTGATCTTCACTGGTTTTTGTTACTTATATGTATTTATTATAAGTTTTTGTTACTTATACTTAAGCTTGAAAAGAAAAAAGGAGAAAACAATGGTATTAAAGAAAATTTTATGAAAAAGATAAAATGCAGTATACTCCGTGGTATAGACCCCTTTTTATTAAATTATTAACATCCGCCTAAAACTTCGTGAATGCCTTCATTTTATTGTAACCTACAACTTTTTTATTTTTCCGAAAATTCTTAGAAATTATGTGTTTTTTCATTAAATTGATGAGGTCCTAAATACTCAAGGGTATCCATCTGCTTTCCACTTGAATCATAAGATGATTTGATCACATAATCAAAAAAAAAATGTGTCCTTCAAAAATATTTGACTGTTTGGCCTAAACTCTTTATTTTGATATATTGGGAATACAGGTTATACCAAACGTCCCAATATTTTTGTAGGCCATCTTTTTTCTTGATTTTGTGATCAAATTATCTTATGATTCAAATGGAAAACTAATGAGTGTTCATGCGTTTTTATTAATATCTCATTAAATAGACTAGGTAAGTTTACCGATCTCCAGATTGAAAATGTTCCATTTCGGAGAATTCTCGTAAATAAAAATGTTGGAGATTACAATAAGACGAAGCCATTCATGAGCCATATCAGCCAAAGTAGGCCTAGCTGTGACACTGCGATTTCTGCCCACAGAAAACTTATATTCAAGTTTTCAGTATCTTTTTAAAATTTCCAAACAAGCCATTAGCTAAGAGCTCGAGAGGAGGTGTCAACAAGAAAGGATTGGCTGACTACAGACAGGGCATTAGGCTCATATTATTCGATCCAATCTCAGTCATCATTGAATTGGCAGTTGCTCACTTTGATGTATTAGGGAGACCGGAAAGTATTGTCGTTTTCTTACATTAAATTCAAACAATGCAGGATCAATAAAAATCAATTGGTTTTTGAGAAAAAATATTTAAAGATGGTATTTTTGATATAATCTAAATTAGAAAATCTTTTGCCACTTAGAAAGTGTTGAAGCAATCGGAATAAGTGGATACCCTTTGATAGTAATGGCGCAACATCACACCCAATGTATGGTGGGTGGGGTAGTACCTCCTACCTTTTTTCCGGGGTTCATCTTGCTTTGTGGCCTTGCATTATCGTGTTGCTAAATCTTTTTTCTGTTGACAATTGCGGGCCGCTTTTCAACTAATGATTGATTTACACGATTCAATTTTTTATAGTAAAGGTCTGCATTCGCAGTTCGTCCAGGTTTTAGCACTTGAAAATGAATGATACCACGAATATTCCACCAAATATACTAGCTACAAGGCCTTTTTGGCGTGTATGCCTAGCTTAGCAGTATTTGTTATGAGAGAGGCAATACTGCCTTTTGAGTTTAGAATTATCATAGAGGACCCTCTTTTCATCTCCAGTGATCAAGTGATCAAAAAACACATTTTTCTTGTGCTGTGGAAGCAACAAGTTGGATGTGGTGGTTTCCTGCTACAAATGTTGTTGGTCGACCAAGATTGGTTAAGACTATTTGACAATTCCTCGATTTCTGATATGGATTTGCTTCCACTTCCTCCCTTAACACGTCATTGTCTAATGTTGTTGGTCTCTCTGATCAATAAGAGTCGGAAAGATCAAAAGTACCGAATTTGAACTTGAAAAATCACTTTTGTCATTTACAAATGTCTAATGAATTTGGATATACATCGCAAATGTTTTTGGTAACCATTGTTTCCTTGAAAGTAAAAAAGAATGCAGTACTGGATATGTATTTCTTCCGGTATTAAGCAGGCTATTTCACCCAATACTTCTTCTTCTTAATCAATTCCTCTTCTACCGCTAGGTCAGTGTAGAGGATCCTGTTTATAGAGCTTGATCCATTTATCTCATTCCCGCACCAGCTGACTGCGTCTATTCCAATTCATTCCTCTCCTATCGAAATCCTCCCTGACTGAACCTTCCCAGGTCTTTCTGGGCCTTCCTCTCGGCATTCTTCCTTCCACTTTTACTTCATATATAGTTTTGGCCATTCTTCCTTCCTGCATTCTTTTGACATGGCCAAACCAGCATAGCCTGTTTTCCTCAATTGTGTTTTCTGCTGGTTTTATTCCCAAATTGGTTCTTATCGTTGTATTCCTAATTTTGTCCCTCCTAGTTTTCCCCTCTATTCTCCTCAGAAATCGCATTTCCAATGCTTGGATATTGCTTTTATGTTTTGAGGTTAGAGTCCAGGATTCACTGCCGTAAGTCAGTATGGGGACAGATGTATTTCTATACACAGTCTTCTTGACATTTTTTGACACTTCTCTCTTTGCTAAGAAGCCTGTTTTTAGTGAATGGAAGCATTTGCTGGCCAGTTTTATTCTTTCTCTGATTTCACCATCTATCCAACCGTTCTCATTTAGATGGGCTCCCAGATGCTTAAAATCTTTGACGTGCTCCAGTTCCTCCCCCTTCAATCGAAGTACTCGATCTCCCCTCTCTTCTCCTCTTCCCATCCTCATAATTTGTGTCTCAAACTTAAAAAAATAAATTTAATTTAATTATTTACAACTAAACAAGTCACTATAACCTTAGAATATCTTTGCCACAATTTAGATGTAAACACTAAACTGACTTGGCAGAAAGTGGCATGGGCAGAAAGGACATTATTTTCTGGTTCCTCTAATAATAAGTTTGTCCATGTTCATATCGGTATAAGTTTGGTCATAAGGTTGGATAAAATTTGTATCCTACTCATTTTGGTCCAATAAGTATGGAGATGCTGTGGGAAAAGGTCACTATGGGTACTATTCCTTGCTCCTGCGGAAGGCATAGTGGGGTGTTTCAAGTGGTTCTAGTAGACCATGTATTTTATAAACCTCTGCCACTCAGCAGAATAACCTAATCTCCTTCGACCTGGCTTGGGTGTCTACAATCACAACTACAAGATAGACAGAAGTTAAGGTCTCCGCCTCTGAGGCACCACAAGGAGGTGACAGCAGGCGTTGATAGGAATAGGAAGGACTGGGATGTTCAAGCAATGGGTAGGATCGTAGGACCTAATGCTTGATCATTCTGCAAAGAGTAGAGAAAATTACCGCAGCTATCTATCTAACCATTTGCTCCCCAATACCACCAATAAGTTTTAGAAAATACTTGAGCTAGAAAATTTTAAGGTGTTATCAATAATTTTAAAAATATTAAAATAATTTAAGATAATCATACCAGTGATGGACAGTTGGCGTTTAAATATAAATAATATTCTTCCTGGTTTACAGCTTACAGGATGAAGGATGCTCAATGCTCGGAGTTAATAACTATATGAAGGCGATCCCCGAGAGTACGTTTAAAAATAGTTATCGGTATTATTTCTATAGTGTGCTCTTGGGATCAGCTTCCTACTCACAGTTTTGATAATGTTTAGTTCTACATTTATCTTCATAATACTTTAAACTTTAGGGTTTTCAACCTTAAAATTCTCATTTCACCATTTTTCTTTACATTTGCAGGGTATTCTGTACTAATCCAAAAAATTGTCTCAAATTATTTATAGACACCCATCCATCAAATTCAGACTTTTTATATAAATTATCATGTTTCTGTGCTTATTAAGGTTCAAAAAAATAAAAATAGCATGGTCATCTTGTTTTTCTCTTTAAAGATCTCTAACAAATCTTGAACATGGAGTGTCCAATGGGACCCCTCATTTCCATTTCCTAGTCTTGTCCATCGCTATTTCTCCAGTTATAATAGAATATTTTCAAGACCAATACTCACGTTTAAATCTAGATATAAAACTCGGCTTTGCAGCATTTGAATAACAGGTTGATATTTATTATGGAGAAGTGCAGGATAAATAACTGCACGAATTTCAGCAGATAATATTCACTAATGCTAAATCTTCTGTCGGCCCATTTAATTCTTGCCAAGCTATCAACAGTAAGACCAACTACAGTTGGTTATTATACATATTGATTATTATTATACAGTTGGTTATTATTATACATAATCTCCTCACATGGAAGGCAACATGATTAAGTTTGATTTTTCATAGTAAATAAAATTAATAACTTCAAAAGGCTAATGAACCAAATCAAACAAAACAGAGATACGGATGCCTAAACAAGACAACCCTGAATTTTAATTATAACTAAAACTTTGGCATAAGCTGGTTCAAAGCAAGCCAAGATGATGGATGAAAACATAACAACCATTGAAGAAGTCACCATAC